AATAGTAATCAGTAAATCTGTGTTTAATCAAGTGCTGTTTAAACCCCCTATTAATACCGTATATGAAAACAGGTTGGTCTGACTTGGCTCTCTAAATACACCAATCCTAACATTAGTCAATATATTGTTTAACACAGTCTACAGGTCATATGATTTATTCTATATCTTCAGTTCTAACATAGCAGACAGGTTCATTTCACTTTCGAGTGCCATTGTCACTATTTATGAATATGATTTAATATTTGCACAGTATTGCAGTATAATGAATGGTGATAGGTATATGCTATCTATAAAAAGGCCATTAAATAGATGAAGTGGTACCTCATTTAAGTGATCTAGGTTTTGTTGATATAGTACCTTGGATATTTAGAAAATTGGTTTATTTGTTCAAGCCAAATGATCTCTGTGAGTTGAGTCAGCTTGGACATAGAAATGAATTAAGGACACATGGACAGAAACATCAAACTTGTTCATGTTTGGTGAAATTGTTTAATTTATTTTTGGTGTAATTGAAACAAATTACTGAAGACATAATGGCAAATGCGGGATATCCTCCAAAGAAAAAGATTTTAACAAAACAGCCAAGTTTTATGTATGTGGATAAATCTGCAGTTGTGGTCAGTATTTTTTAGAGAGATTCATTCTTCAATATTATCAGACTCCATTATCTCACATATGTTAACAGTAAAACCGAGAAATTAATAATTTAGGAAAAAAGAAACTGATTATATATATACCCACCCAATGTCTTGTCACTGAATTAGGCATTCACTTTTGATGTATGGGAATGAGAGATTACAAACCCCTTGCTGATATGTTTTGTCATTAATCCCCCTATTAAAAGCTGTTTTACAAGGGCAAAAATCATTACAAGAATTTAATTTAATTGGTAACCATTTACAATCAGTATATTTAAAATTCAAAATTCCTTTCGAATAATCAACCAGTTTTTTTAGACCATTTTATTTAATGCAGGTAATGTTTGAACTCATATTAACAACCAGTAAGATTGCAATAGTCTTATTTAATATGCATAAAGTTATTACTTTTCAATTTTATATGAAAATCTGGGATAATAAAGGTTTAGTTCAGTTATCCAAATATGTGGATAATTATGTTTCAAATTATATTACAAATGGGTCAGCTGTGGTATGAAAAAATATGGACAGATGGTCCTCTGATTTTAGAATTTTAGGTTAAGTGAGTAAAAAATCTGATTTTAATAAACATATGGGAACAATTTTCTTTTTGATGACCAAGACAATTATTTTTAATATAAGATTTTCAAAACTTAAATTAATTTTTATTTCTTAGGAAAATATTTCTTAAAACTAGATAATTTTTCTGGGTATAATAATCTTGTTTTAAGAATTTCATGACCAAATTTTTTCTTACCCATAGGATATAATATTTTTCTTAAAAAAGTTTCTGAAAACTTAATTTGAGTAATTTTTTCTAGTTATTTTTCTCTGTGTAGAATCCATGTAAAAGGTTTTTAGATGCCTCCAAAACAACTCCACAGTTCTCCACACTAACCACTTCTGTATGCCCTTAATGAAAAGTATTGCCATCAGTCGTCCACAAGAAAAATTTCCATGTAAGCCGTGAAGCTTAACTGTGTAATGAAATGAATTTGAATTATAGATGAAGCCTTTAAAAAAATTTTTATATAAAATCCTTGATATGAATATTTTAAGTATTTCTTGCTGCTTTTATCTTATAAATCATTAGATTATTGATTGGATTTGAAAATATCTCTTTATAAAACAGTGTTTATCAGAATATGGTTGAAGAATTATTCTAAAATAAGTCCATCAATGGCATTAATCCACATCTATGATTATACTGTTTTGTAATGGAACTTTCGTGTTCATGATAATATGGACTTTTCTCCAGAATTGAGGATTATTTTCAGATTACTAGTAGTTTAAATGAAAGAAATGAAGACTACAGATGTTTTGGTGCGTTTTTTATGGTGTTGGGATGATTAGTTGTTTTTGGTCATTGATCATTGAATGCAAGATGAAAAGGGGAATGAAAAAAGGGTGTTTGTATTGCTCTGCTGTATAATGCCCCTGTTTGATTTAGCATCCACCAAGTATTAATTATGATGAATATAGTATTTAATTTTCATACAAAATAAAGTCTAAAAAGTAAATTCTGTATGGTCTCTATATACGTAGTGGTTGTAAATGTGTAATGCATGCTCCATAGTTCACTTGAATGGACATGAACACATGATTGTACTATTATTGAAATAAATGTATCCATTTAATCATTTATTTTCACAATTTGGATTTGAACATTTCAGCACTATCTATTGCTCTTTGGATAAAAAATAATGTGAATTTATTTTCACAGAATGGTAGGTCTCACTGACTTTGATTTTCAAGCACAGAATATTAATGGACACCTTTTTCCAGACATTTAGAATTCGAGGTTCTAGTAATCAGAGGAAAGCAGTGGTGTATGCAAGATTGTTGATAGACCTCAAATTGTTTGCGAAATATGTTTTCGATGATCTTTAAATTAGAAATATGCCACTGGAATAAGATCATTTTTAAGATCAATTTATCGTAATTGAATGATTGACAACTTTATAGAAATCTTTTGTTCGGTAGGCTTTTGTGTTAGATTGATTGGGAATGCTGAATACTGATTTAGGAAATGATCCTGAAAACATCAATAGAGAAATTATACAGTTTGATTGATGATAGGCTGTGATTACCTGCAGCAGTTTTAGTTTACGTATACAGCATAAATTCATATTAAGTTCCTTTCATATATAGCCTGTCCTATGAGCTATATATTGTTGTCATGACTTCAGTGATTTTTGCAGGTCTCTGAATGATTGTCTCCAGAAATTTTCCATGGAGACCAAAATATCTCCTCAGAATTGTTAGGTACATTTTTTAGTTTTTGTTGTTGGGAAATGGGTGGCTGGCATATCCAGTCTGTGGATATAGTTAACTCCAAATAATGTACTAATTTGTTTTTGACTTTATATACATTCACATTTACCTTGTCTACCTTGTAAACATTCTACAGTCATAGTTTATAACATTGTTAACAAATTTGCAGGGATTGTTTAACTAGTTTTAGGGAGGAAACCGCTTAAAATGTACAGTTGAGCATTATTTTTGTGCAGTTACTGTCATTGTCACTGAAACGATGTAAATACTTAATACGTCAGAAGTTTTTAGATCGCAACCATTCTTAACTAGTCTTCATGGGAAAAAATGGAAATGAACAAATTTACTATCGTTCAAATTTCAAAACTAATTACACTGTAGTAGATGATTCGTTATTAAAGATATATTGTCCAGAATGTATTTTTCAATAAAAGTATGGCAAATTTGGTATATATATGGAAAATATAGATGCCCAATCTTACTAGAAAAATACTGGATTACCCGAAAAACACCCATGGGGCAAGCACTGGGCAAAAATGTCAGGGTATCACTAACCTTCAACCAAACTGTTGTCTGCCAGCTTATTGTGTGCTAGCTTGACTAAAGGAGCGGTTGTTATTTCTTGATCAAATGGTTAGGCTGTTTTGGGAACATTGAGGGGTGTCAACGTACAAAAGACTATACAATTAAATGGCGGAAAAAGAAGTTGACAGAAAATAATTAAGAATTTATTTGGGCCTCAATATGTATGGACAGTGAGTAATGAAAAATACATTCTGAAAAATGGACCCTCCCTCAATGAAGTTAGATGACAACCATGGTTTCTAACAACAGTTATTTATAGCTTGAGGTATCTCCCTGCAAATAAAAAATTTTGAGAGGAATCTGAAGAAAGTTTTTGACAGTTTAATTAGTTTGAATATGTTTTTAGTCCAAATATATATCAAATCACACAGTTTGTATGTGGCGAAAGTATCTTTAAATTTATATAATTGATTTTATAGAATGTTAGAATAATATGCATGCCTTCTTCATTATTGTCAAAATTTTATAATAATAATTTAATTTGGCATAAGGTATCTGAATTCTAAATGACTGGCCAATAAATATTTGTAAATTGGTATTTACCTTGATAACCTTAATCATTTATATAAGTAAAGTCAATATGTATAAAAGATTGATCTTAGAAAGACATGCAATAACATTTTGAAAGAGAAAATATCTATTTGATGTAGATTTATGTAGTGTTTATAGTGACCAGGGGTAACTGTTTATGGTTATTACACATCAATTTATACTGGTAAAGTTATTGATAAATCACCAGGTATATTATAATAGCTAGATAAACACAACCCTGTCCTGATTGATAAGTTTAGCATGATATATACACATACACTTTATATATTATATACATGGCTTATTGAAATCCTTTCTCTATAGAACTGATATCTCAATACCTTTTCGTGCACTGAACTAACAATGAACAATAGTATACAGCATTATTAAAATCCAGTCGGATGGAATGTGTATATTATATGTTAAAGCCAATATTTAAGGTGTTCTCATATTGGTTGTTATGTTCATGCCTCGTTGATTATCTGTAGTTAATGATGATGAATAACAAGGGATTATTGAATGATTTTATTTATCTTTCTGCTTGTGAGATTAGCTGAATCTATTCGTTAACACTGCTCGTCGTTTATGGGAATATAAAGACAGTAAACAATAGAATTATGTTTTCTCACATGGTCCAATAAAATGGAGAGTTTTGGAGTTTAGAGACATATATTTACAAATTAGTTCATATTTTAGTCATACAGACTACTTTCTGTGTTTCTGTATTATGTGAATCGATTGGTATATTTTAGTGCATACATTAGTGGAATATTGATTAAGATTTATCAATAATATTGAATTGTGATTGAAAATAAAAATGACTAGTGCGGCAGCTCAAGCTATCAAACTCAATCGTGAGTTACAAATGGTATGTTGTCTGTATTTTTTTTTTCTGTTACTTAGAGGATGAAATAATATGTAATTTGATTTCTGAAATGAAATTATCCAATTGTTCTCTATTAATATTTTCAGCAAAAGTTAAAAGAAGAGAGGGAACAGAAACGAGCCCGTCTCGATGAACGCCATCATTATATTTTACAGACTGTCGCTGACAGTCTGGCCTTGGAGAAATCTGAGGTTGAAGACTATATTCTTGAAGGAAACCAGGTATTACTATGAATTGAAATAAATTTTATTATACATCCACATTTACATGTGGATGTATATTGTTATAACACCTGTCCGGCCGGACGTCCATCTGTCCACAGTTTGTTTGTGAACACTCTACAGGTCACAATTTTTATCCAATTTTGACGAGACTTGAAATATAGGTTTATCTTCAAAAGATCTTGGTTTCTTTTGATAATTGCATGTATCACTGTAACTTCATGGATTATAGACCCTAATTGTACAAAAAATCATGTTTTTCGCTTGTGGACACTCGCAAGTTTTTTTTTATCAGATTTTGATGAAACTTTAAATGTATGTTTATAGCCAAAAGTCTCGGTTCCTTTTGATATTCACGCATAATGGACAGTAACTTTCTGGATTATGGCCTCAGATTGTACGAAAAAATCACGTTTTTAGCATATGGTGCCTCTAGAGGTCACATTTTTTATACGCCCACATTTTCATGTGGATGTATATTGTCGTTGCCCCAGTCTGTCCGGACTTTCGGATGTCTGTCCATCCACAATTTGTTTTTGGACACTCTTAGGTGTCACAATTCTTAGATTTTGATGAAACTTGAAATATAGATCTATCTCCAAAGGATCTTGGCGCCTTTTGATATTGGCATGTATCGGATCGAAACTTGCATGGATTATGGCCCCTGATTGTATGAAACATGACATTTTTAGCTTGTGGACACTCTAGAGGTCACAATTTTCATTTGATTGTGATGAAACTTAAAATGCATGTTTATAACCCAAAGATCTTGATTTCTTTCGATATTTGCGCAACTTCCTGTATTATGGGCCTTGATTGTACAAAAAATCGCGTTTTTAGCTTGTGGTCCCTCTAGAGATCACAATTTTTATCCGATTTAAAAAACGTTTGAATATATCACCATTACATGCTGGTGATGGTTGAGTTTGTATTTCGTGAAAATCGGCCCAAAACTGCCGGACATAATGGTCGCCCCTCGTATGCAAAAAGTGTAAATATATTATATATCAAGGTTGGGGACCCTCTAAAGGCCACAATTTTGATCCGATTTTGATGAAACTTGAAATACATGTTGATAACCCAAAGATCTTGGTTCCTTTCAACATTCCCGCATATCAGATCCTAACTTCTTGAATTATGGCCCCTGAGTGTTTGAAAAATCGCATTTTTAGCTTGTGGACCCGCATAAAGTCACAATTTGTATTCAATTTTAAAAAACATTTAAATACATCACTGTTACACATCAATGAAGATTGAGATCAAATTTCGTAAAAATCTGACCCAAACTGCCGGACAAAATGGCCGCTCCTTGTACGCAAATAGTATAAAAGTATGTAATAACAAGGTTGGAAAGTTGACACTCTAGAAGTCACAATTTTTATCCGGTTTTGAAGAAATTTGAAATGTACGACTATAATCCAAAGATCTTGGTTCCTATCAAAATATTTGCGCATATTGGACCATAACTTCCTGGATTATGGCCCTTTATTGTACTAAAAATTACACCATTACACCCTAATGACGGTTGAGTCCGAATTTCGTTAAAATCGGACCGAAATTGCGTGACAAAATAGCTGCTCCTTGTACGCAAATAGTGCAAAAGTATGTAATACCAAGGTTGTGGAGTATCTTCGTGTATAAAAGTAACCATTTATACACAACATTTTTGCTACACGTGGAATTATCAATATTGCTGCAATTTTTATCCGGTTTTGAAGAATTTTGAAATGTATGACTATAATCCAAAGATCTTGGTTCCTTTCGATATTTGCGCATATTGGACCATAACTTCCTTGATTATGGCCCTTTATTGTACTAAAAATCATGTTTTTAGCTTGTTGACTGTCTGGAGGTGACAATTTTTATCCAATTTTAAAAAACATTTAAATATATCATCGTTACACCCAAATGACGGTTGAGTCCAAATTTCATGAAAATCGGACCGAAATTGCGTGACAAAATAACTGCTCCTTGTACGCAAATAGTGTAAAAGTATGTAATACCAAGGTTGTGTAGTATCGTGGTGTATAAGAGTAACCATATTGCACGACGTTTTTGCTACACGTGGAATTATCAATATTGTTGCACAATAGAACTGGAATACATAATTTTCTTAATCTCTAGATTTTATTTCTACAATTCCCACAAGGCCGTAATACCGCTATAAAAAATTATAAATGCATTTTTCTACCAACACCTACGTTGTTGAGGATTTACGTAATTTCTATGCTGTTTTTATTTGATATGACAGTTGGTTTGATTCGAAGACCAGTACTTCATATCAATTGCCCTTTTTCGAAGATCATAATGATCTCGTTTACATCTTGCGTGACCGTAATAGCGGTAAACGGCTTTGTGGTAGAAAGTTCTTATGACACGTGGACAAAACATGATGATTAACAATGGATCGCTTCACGCCATTGCTTAGATTCCCACATATCAATTAACTTTTATTGTTCTACTATCAGACACTCGTCATTAATTATCAACACAACACTCAGTATAATCTATTGATGACTATGTATTCAACTCTATAACACCAATCACAAGATTATGTGGCTTCTATACATGTGCATTATTCTGTACTGGCCACACAATTGTATAGTTACATAGTGGAGGGCGATCGTAGCCATGTTTGAAAATTGGATTTTGAAAAAAAAAGGCTCTCTAGGGTCAGATCTAGTTACAGTCATTTTCCATAGCCCTAGGTCTTGACTGGCATATACGGCTGACGTGGAACCCATATTGTGGACCCCTAGAAGTCATAATTTTTCAATTTTGATGAAACTTAGAATATATCTTTATATCCCAAATATCTCAGTCAATTTTGATATTCGTGCATTTCAGACCATAACTTTCTAGATTATGGCTCCAGATTGTTCGAAAAATTGCAATTTCAGGTTATGGAACCCTCTAGACGTCACAATTTTTATCCGATTTTAAGAATTGTTTAAATATATCACCGTTACACCCTCCTAATGATGGTTGAGGTTGAATTTCGTGAAAATGGGCGCACCTTGTATGCAAATAGTGTAAAAGTATGTAATACCAAGGTTGTGGAACCTCTAGCGGGCACACTTTTTATCCGATTTTGATGAAACTTAAAATATATGTGTATATCACAAAGATCTCACATTCGTTCGATATTCGCGCAAATTAAGGGCTCTGATTTTATGAAAAAATCAAGTTTTCTTTTTTTTTTTTAGTTTGTATTCTGTCCATCTCTTGCAAAATGTGAGCGTATCTTGCATTGCAACTGTTTGTTTCATCAATGTTATATGGGAAGCAAGTGTGAATTTTCCCATCTAAATTAGAATGGCTTAAGTGTAATAATTTCAAAAGAAATAGACAAATAATAATTATCAACCAAAGCATACCAGATCATTAATGAACGGATGGATGGGTAGATGGAGTGAGTGCACTGGCATTGGGTTATTAGAATGTATTATGTTAGTACTTTTACAATTTTGACTTTCAGATTGAGACAATGGATAAGTTTATGAGTGAAAATGGTATGATGAGGTTAATGTTTTATTACCAGGAACCAGAGCCAGAAAAAGAACATGGTATGTTATATAGTTACCGTATAATATTGTGTAATTCTGTATAGCCTGTTTTGTTTGGTGAATTTCTGTGTAAATTTAGTTTTGCAGTAGGCTAGTAAATCTATTTGTGTGCAGTATATACATATAATTGGTAACAATTTTATGAATATTCGGTCATCGCAGTGATCACAAATTTATTTTATTATCATTTTTCTCCATACACAACTTTGAAAATATGTCAAAAATAAAACCTATACAACTTGTATTATTGATTGCCTGTCATATTATTCATCCATTCATTTTTCATTGTCATTTATTCACAATTCCACGTAATGCTAATTTTCTACAGGAGTTGAATTTAGAATTCCTGGTTCGGCCACAGTTAATGTTGATAAAAGGCCACCAAGTAACAGTATGCCACCCTTGTTTTTTTAAATGAATGTCCACAATTGCACATCTAGATGTTAAATGTATAAGTCACACACCCATGCTTTGTTTCTCATATTACTTCACACAACTGCACTTAGAAAATGCAAATCTTAAATTTTATTCTTCAATATTCTTAATCACATATTGAAAATATTCAAACATGAGTTTATAAATTTTGCATTGTTATTATGTTTTACAACCTTTACATGAAGTTTAAAAATCTTACAAATGTGATTGAGATCAGACAAAAATGAATTTAAGATCTGTAGGCTACACAAAAATATATAAATATTGTTTATAATTCTTGAAATATCTTATGCACTTGTTTGACTGTCCAGCTTCATTGACTATGGTATTCGACAACAAATATTAGTTATTTATTGTACAATACCCATAATGAAATAGCCTTCAAGTGTATCAGAATGCTTCATATTATATGATATGATTAGTATTACCATAAATACTGTCTTTGTGCTGTCTGTCTCTTAAACCAAGACAAGTGACATACCTTTTTCTGCTATTCAGATATTGTTCTAGTAAGCAAATCTGACCATAAAATCATGAAACTTATGTTTGTTCAGCCCAGTTTTTATTAAAATTATGAAACTATCACAATGCCTTTATTGTAATATAGAATTGGTTTGGCAAAATATGTGGAAAGGTACTATTGCCACTGTAGAATTGTATATTTGATTTTTAGGGATGGGAACAAGTGATTGAAATTTGATTGAAATCTGAGTTCTCGGTTAGGAAAGGGTTTCGTGTTATAGCGTCAAATGAGTTGGACCTGTCATGGCTATTTTTGGTACTTTTTAATTGGGAACTTTAAGTCTACCAGTTTGTTATAATACAATTAGCCACTGCTCTTTCTTCAGCTTTCTTATTTTTCTTTCTGTAAGATAAAATAAATTATAAAAACACTCCTTTATCTTGAGGAGTTGCTTTTATAATAGTATAATATTCATCTTTATCAACTTTCCCAGATTTATAATAAATAAGTTTTTCCTATAATTTTTAATTGCACTCAAGTACTTGAATTATGCACCGTATCACATAGTAATATAAGACGTATATTGAATAGACTAATAAATATGTATTGTTGTTAATGGACAGTATATTATCAAAATAACACAAAAGATCTATATATCAAATATATAAATAGTACTTATTAATAAGATTGACAGTTATTATTTTGGTATGTTGTATATAAGAAAAGTTTAGTTCATTAGTTTAAAATCTATAATGGGGGAGAAAAAAGCTAAATTTCTTGGTGGTTATGCTATTATCTATTACTCTTTTGAAACCTGACAAAATTTACAATGTATTGTAGAAAGTTATTTCTTGTTTTGTTTGTTGCTAAGTGAGTTGTCATGTGGCCATGATAAGTGATCTGTTTTCTTTTCCCCAAATCAAGCACCTTAAATATGAATATATTGTAAAAGCGTCATGTTTGTACAAACTTGAATCTAATGTCAATAAAGTGTTTATCTCAACTCTCTGATAATGTGAGGGTTAATGTTTTGTTTTTGTTTGATGTATGAATGACAGAATTATTAGTATGTATAGATAGACACTCAAAGTAATCTCAGAACTTTAAATGAAAAATATTCAAACTTTTATAAATTCCCTAATTAAAGTATTTTCTATGAAGAAATGGAAAATAATTTTTTTTCCAGTTAAGACTAATTTTAATTTAGATTACATATTTCTCATTAAAATTCTCAAATTAGTTCCACTCATAATGATAGAGATTATTCAGTTTAATTAGATCAAAGATCTAACAAATGACACCATAGAAACGGTTTGAAAAGCATGCCCATGTTTTAGATTAATTTCTAGTATAAATACCTATTATGATATCTGTACGGTAACGAAAAGACAAACTCTTATATTAAGAATAGCTGTTTGAAAAAGATATTCATCATGAGTTATCTCCCTTTAGTCTCCACTTAATTTTTTTTTGGTTTGATAGTATCTGTCTTAGCATAATTAATGTCTGATAATGTTTCTTTTTATTCTTGAAATTTTCATATACATGCTATTTCTTTAAATTTTAAATTCTGATTTGGTCTTTTATTATTTTAGTGGATCATGTAAGATTAGGACCACCTACAACTAAAGTCATACGTTCAAATAAACCTAAGGTTTTTATTGCTGAAGGTACAGACATACCTTTACGAGGTGTGGGTCTGATTTTCACAAAATCATCTCAAAGTAATCTTGCCATTACAGAAGCCAACCATGCAAAGGTAACTTGATATACTTACATATTACTATCATGGATTTCTAATCCAATGTAAAAAAAAATCATTCATAAGGCATACTTTAAATAAGTATACCATGTATGTGGCATAGCATCTGTTATACCTATATATAAATGGGGTAACTGGCTTTGAGAGAAACATGACCATCAAAGTTCACTCATTGTAATAGTTTGTCAACTAATCAATTCATTTTTCAGGAAGTGAATTTTACAAGATTAGATGCTAATACTGAAGGTGCTAATGGTCGTGGTTTACTGAAAGCTGTTGAAAATCTCTTGTCTAGTATTTTCATCCCTGCTTTACGTAATTTAGACAAAGGTTGGGGTCAATTAAATGAACAACCTTCTGGTGACCAGGTTCGAGCAGATTTCCTCAACTCACTTGATTCTTTTGTTTCTGTCTTAGTTGGTAAGTGTACAGAATTTGATATCATGTTGCCTATAATCTCTGTGTTTATGTGGCCAGTCAAAAATTCTAAAGCTTTTATTTGTTTCTTCTAAAAGAGGTCAAGTGCTTAATCTAAATATTTGTTTAACATTTTCACCATTTTGATAGCATTGTCAAGGAATTTCGAAGATAGAGAAAAAAATTCCTTTTGCCCAAAAAGTGACAATATTGTGTATTTAGTTTGAAATTTACATAATAGTATATCTTAAAGCTTATTTATATGGAAAAATGGCTGCAAACATCTTGACTAGATGTTCAGAGTTTGAATTACTGTCTGGGACGAAAAGAATTGTTCAAGTCTTTTTTCTACTTGTCACCGTCAAGAATGATAAAGTGTCTAGTCTCATTTGGATGAGTGAAAAACCGGTCACATTTTGTGGTTCAATTAAAATATTCCTCGACAGAATTAGAAGAAAAGTATAGGAGATGTTGCTGTCTAGGCAAAATTCTCTCTTTATATCGTTGTACACATAACAAGGAAAATAAAAATAACATCTTCGTCTTAAAATAACCCACATATCAAGTTGTTGTATCCTCCTATTGCTGATTGACCATAGTATATTGTATTTACAGGAGCTCAAGAATCTCTACAGCAAAAAGTCACATTAAAACCATGTGAAGGTTATGATCTAAATAAGATTCATACACCTAATGATTATTTGACAGTTGCTAATAGTAGCGAATCATTAGAAAGTATTGAAGCTTGTATGAGAGTCTGGATAAAACAGATTGAACAAGTACGTATACAGATTTCCATAGAAACAAGGTTGGACAATGAGTTATTAATTAGGATAAACAAAAGCCAAACACTGTGCTTAAAAGTATGAATGAATAATGGCCGTACAAGAGGTTATATAGAAATATAAACCTGACTTGTATATTGTTGTTGAATTTGATTAACGTTATACTGTATTACAGGTTCTAGCAGAGAGTGAACAGATGCGACGTGAAGCAGATGACATTGGACCAAGAGCAGAATTAGATCATTGGAAGAAAAGAATGTCAAAGTTCAACTATTTATTGGATCAGATCAAAGGGCATGATGTCAAGGCTGTTCTTGGTGTTCTTCATGCTGCCAAATCAAAACTGATCAAGGTAAAAAGAGGGTTGATAACAATTCTATAATAATATTACAATGCTTTGAAAAAACAGTTAATGAAAAAACAGAGAGACCTATATTATGACCTTCTAATTAAGCTAGTCTTATTAGTAGAAGGTAAAATACCTCATTTCATTGACAATTTTCTCAAGTCACCAGAACTCTACAATTTCCAAAATATCAATTTCAGACTTGGCAAGAATTGGATAGAAGAATAACAGATACAGCTAATGAAGCTAAAGATAATGTTAAGTTTTTATATACTCTGGAGAAATTCTGTGATCCGCTTTATAATAGTGATCCAGTAAGTATAAGCTTGTTTCTCTATTCCTGTTGATGCCCTTGTATATTGTAACAGTTTTCTGTAATTTGTAATACATACTTTGTACATCCAGGCCAATCAAGAGCTATAAAAATATTCAGTGTTGATTTAACCTTGTTGGAAGTTTAATATTAAAAATGTATAATTAATTCTTGTACATGTATTTTTGTTTTAGGTTGGAATGTTGGAAGCTATACCTGGTTTAGTTAATGCTATTCGTATGATACATAGTATATCACAATACTATAATACATCAGAAAGAATGACATCTTTATTTGTTAAGGTAAGATATATTAATTTTCTCATATCATGTACCTATTAGCAGAATTATTGGATCAGTAAATGCTTCCACTAATGCTGAATATCTGTAAGTAACATTCACACATTGATTTATGACAAATTTTATCACCCTGGTTATCTCTTACTCCAAGTTCAAAAGAAATGATTTGTATTGAATGTGGGCAGGTTATTAAAGAATCCCCATCAATGGGTTTAACTATGAGTTCAAATTTCAAACTACTGTCTCATTTTCATGTAGTTTTGATATATCTTAATTCATTTTTGTAGATTACCAATCAGATGATAACAGCATGTAAATCTTATATAACATATGAACATAGTGAGACTGTATGGTCACAACCTATTGATGTAGTTATGAAGAAATTAAATGATTGTATTAAACTGAATGAAGAATATCAGGATTGCTTCCATAAGACGAAAGCGAAATTAGAAAAGATGCCGAACGAGAGACCGTTTGATTTCTCAGAGATGTATATATTTGGTAAATTTGACACCTTTACAAGACGACTGAAGAAAATTATCAACATGTTTGATACAATGGAGATGTATTCTCATTTGGCTGATTCTAGGATCGAAGGTTTGTTTTCTAGGATAATTAAAGAAAGGACTTGAATGAAAGGCTACTCAAGAGTAGGGAAACTAATTTTTGTACTCCGTCAGTTCAGATTTGAAATATTGGAAACAATTTAAATTTGTTGGAGTTGTTTAGCAGTCTATTAGAAAGAATCCTATGAAAAAAAGCCCATTCTGTAGAGGTAGATAAAAAGTTATTTTTATGTATTCATTGTTGATATCTAAATTAAATAAAGCACTCAATTTGTAGATATGGAGGGAGCAGTGAGTAAGTTTAATGTGATAGTTATTGCAATGAAGAAGAAACCATACGATTACCTTGATCAGAGAAAGATGGAATTTGATCAAGATTTTGATGAATTCAGGAGACAAATTCAGGATTTGCATGTAAGTTGTTGTAATTGTACATTGTATTTTGTGTGAGGAAATGTTCATGAGATTAAAATGCCAATACATATACTATTATCCCCTTTTAATATTGTGTTTACCGGGAAAATGTGTTCCTAATTCATATTAATTTGTGTCACAGGTCACAAGAATTTCAGTTTCATGTTTGTTCAGTAAACTAACAATTGTAGTTACCTTGGAAATTGTAATGTGTTGTAAAATATATAAAACTATTATATAGGAGCTTTGTTGGTTTCAGAATGACTGACAATTGACTATACATGTACATGGACACAGGTTTGATAATCATAATTTGCTTTTCATTTCAACAGGCAACTATTGTTCAATTTATGGATAGTAAATTTGAAAAGATTGCTAGTACACAGAAAGCTCTTTATCTACTACGAAAGTTTGAGCGCCTCAATCTACCTAATCTTGGAATACAAGAAAAATATCAACGCATCTTGAGCCATTATAGTCGTGACATTGAAAATGTATCCCGTCTATATCAGAAGAACAAGACAGATCCTCCAATAGCTCGTGATCTTCCACCAATTGCTGGTAAACCATGTTTTGATATTCCAATGTGCTATCATAAAAAGATATACACAAATATATATATGGACAGCTATAACTATAAATAAACATTCAGTATGTCTAGACAATTTTAAGTGTCAAAAATCATGTATGTTAAACCACATAGGAAGTAACATCATGTCAAGTGAATATTATTTTATTTCTTTATTCAAGGAAAGATTGCTTGGGCTCGGCAACTGTTTAGACGTATTCAAGAACCAATGGAAGTGTTTCAACAACACCCTCCCATACTTCAAACATCTGAAGCCAAGAAGATCATCAAAAATTTCAACAAACTAGCTAAAGTCCTGCTTGAATTTGAAGTTCTTTATCATAGAGGCTGGATAAGACAGGTAAAAGCAAGGAGATACAACAAGATTTGTATTTTTGAATGAATTGTAATGGTTTTGAGAACCCAAGAGATTCAGATAACACAATTATTTTGTGTTAATATCATTTTCTGTATACCTATTTACTTAGCTTGAGTTCATTTAAATTGAAATTAAATACTGGTAATTTTATAATTTTATTTTATTTCCAAAATAAATTCATATTTATGAAATCATTTTTCAGATGGAAACAGTGAAATCTGGACTTCAAGCTGCTCTGTTGATTCAAGTAGTGCATCCAGAATCTAAAGAATTATTTCTGAATTTTGACCCCCAAATTCTGTCAATGATACGGGAAACTGAATGTATGAGTCGACTTGGACTTGATATTCCACCAATAGCTATCAAGATGAGAGCTAAACAAATTGAATACAAGGATAATTACAATGCTTTACAGGTTGGTTCATATTAGTTTCACAATAATACAGACTATAGATAAACAGTAATTGCAGCTAGCTTCTAATTTTACTTGATTTGAGACATACAATATGAGAAAAATTAAGGAACAATCTCACTCTGATTTATTATTTTTTGAAATTTAGATGATGTTGGAAGAAAATCAACGTGTTCGAGCAAAAATACCTCAAGCTTTTGAAACGCTAATGGGACATCATCTAGCGAAAGTTGATGACGCTATTGAACCTGGTATAACAACATTAAACTGGATGTCACTTGGTATTGGTGATTATATTGCAAATGTCTATGCTAAATTAGCTGATCTTGAACTACTGATGAACAGAGCACATGATGTAACAGAATTTCGAATTGACACCATCTTACGGGATATGGCTTCTACCAAATTGTGTGAATTGCCTGAAGATGAACCCTGGACTGTTGAAAAATTCCAAGAAAATACCCAGGTATGGTATAGTACTAATAGTAGCCTACCAATATTCCTTTGCGCTTTGTTGGTGTGTGGATAAGCTTACTGCATTGTGCCTTAAGAAAATGTAACTTGCTAAGTTGATTATTTTTTTGCTGATGCTGATTAGCTGATAGTTCTGATTCATGATTTGTATCTTTACTAAAATAGTTTATTTTTGACCCAGATGTTATGTGCTAAAGGAGCTCAGATACTGCAGACTAAGAGCCAGACAGTAGAAGAGGCGGCCAATGAACTGATTAACATGCTGGTGAACTCGGAACCTGAGACTGCCGAATCTGAGGAGGAAGAGGAAGAAGAGGGGGAGGAAGGTAAAATCTTATTTCATCTTTAATGTTCAGGTTGTTCTGTTACAACATCTTCTAGCTTTAATTAAGATTTTGTGAGATCTGGGACCATAACTTACATAACTTTAAATTCTGCTTGTCAAATGTAGGACCTAAAATACCTCACGAATCCACATATGATAGAAGGAGCAGGTTGTTCTTCTAATGAGTAAAATGAACAAGGTATAAAATTGAGAAAATGTATAGTCCTTTCTTTAATTTTGAAATGTCTATTTTAGCAGGTGATAATACAGATAGAAGTAAACCAGCATCTGCCAAGTCAATCAGTCGGCAATCACGACCACTCTCATCAAAAGCTCAAAGTGTTGCTAAGAAGAAGAGAGAAATGAGGGAGAACCTAGAAGAGTCTGCCATGGAATTACTGATTCATTTTAACAACAGGAATCTGGATGCCCTACTTAGAGCTACGAGATACACGTTGGAATCTCTTCGTAAACGTATCACATCTAGCTCTATGGCTCATTACATAGGTAAGACTTTAAATTAAAGCAAATTGTTTATAGAATTAAATATTTAGGTATCAAAAAGTCTTCACTGATTTATGAAGAATTGGACAATATTCCAAAAAGCAATTTTAATGAAAAGGTCATTTTCTGTATGAAGATTATCCTATTAAAATCAGCAGCTTGGAATTCAGTTGTTTATGCACTAAAATAACAATCAATTTTAAGCCTTTTCAAAAAGGGCTGTTGGTTATTATAGTTTGTACATGCTTTCTTTTTCTACAGGTGATACTTCCTATGGGGATGGTAAAAAAGATAGTCGACCATTCTTTAGGACTAACGCTGTCCTAGCTATACCTAATATTATCATGCAGCCAGCATTGGATGAAGTACAACAAGCCTTAAATAAAGTTGTACAAACCATCATCAGTGTCAGCAAGGGTGTTGCACTATGGAGCAAAGAACGCAAGAAAACGATCAAGACTCCCCCCTTAGAACGTTCTTCATCTGCACTTGGAGATTATTCTATTGACAGACGTGTGAGTGTAGTAAGTTTGGTATCTGATGGCTCCCATCTTGATGGTAGACGACGTATAGAAGGTGAACAGTTGTCATCTAGTATGGTGATACAACAACAGGCTAAGAATTACTATAAGAGTGTGTCGGATAACAAAGAGATCGCAAAACTTGCTTCTCTGCTCTCTACTTCCATTAATTCAACTAAAAAGGTTTGTTTTCATTATTTTTTTTATGTGTTTTAAATTTTTATTATAAGCTAAAATGTTGTTAATATAGTTGCCTCCCTATACTGAGTGAAGTACAAATGCATAGTAATCAATCAGGATGTTTTTATTAAATACATGTATACCTATGAATGACCCATTGCTGTTGGTTAAAATGAGGCATTGAATTAATGTGATTTTACCATGATCAGTGTATAGAACTGAATAGTAAAAGCAAAGTGTCATCTGAAATAATTTTACAGAGAACTCTTCAAGTAATTATTTTGATTTGATGTTTACAGGAAATTACAACAGCCCTAGAAAAGTTTTCTCACTACCATTCTATATGGGCTCGTAATAGAGAAGAGGAACTTGAAGCCTTCTTGAAAGAAGATCCTAAGCTATCTGAATTTGAAGCTAAGATTCGTCATTATGAACAATTAGAAATTCAGATAATGGCCGAACCAGAATATTATGATGTTGGAGCTATAGCTCTTTACACTGGTATGTTCAATGTATTTTTGCAAACCAGAACTATTTGATACTTGTATTGTAGCCTTGGTATAAGTCATTCAGTTTCTGTTCGACCATTTCCTCATTCAATTCACTTGATAGGTTCAGCTCCTGAGTTATGTTGGCTACCATTAATTTTGTTGATAAATCAAACACTGTGTGATACGGTCATCCTGATTGTTTGATATAATGAGATATGTTATCACGACTCCAGTATTAGTAGATTAATATATCCAGGTGTTCCAACAGAAATGTGTGGATTATACGTACCCAGGCTACATTGTTTAACCCTGGAATTGTTATTATTTACGTCTATGTCAAGGAAAGTCTTAGATTGACCATTATCTGAAACAACATTATCTGAAATTGGAAGTGAATATTCATGATCTGTCTAAAACATTCCAACAGAAAGATATATAACTTTTAGCTTTTTCTGTTTAACAATGGTCAAAAATGTGGTATTATCAAAAATATGATATTCATATTATGTCTTTTATAGAGAAACTGAAGCTTGGTCTTACCACCGAGACTAAAGCTTGGCGTCTGCACTTCGGTAAAGCTTGTGATGATAAATATCATATGGAAATGGAAGAAATCTTCACCTTTATTGAAGATATGACTAAACGTCTTAATCGTCCTATCAAAGATCTTGATGATATACGATTTTCTATGCAAGCCTTACGAGAAATTCGTGAGAATGAGATTCGAATTGATATGAGCCTTGGTCCTATTGAGGTATGTTTGTAATTCAATGATATATGTCTGTAATTTTCATTGATTCTAACATACGCAGAATGTTGTAAAAATTAAAGTATAAGGTCTGTAGAAAGTTTCTTTGAAAAGTACAATAAATCTGTGAATAATTGTCACATGATCCTGAATTTCTCCTAGCATTTTCTATATAGATACCAAATATTGGAAATTTATTTATTTCAACAGGAATCATATGCCTTGATAAATAAACATGATTTACCTGTGGTGAAAGAAGATGCTGAGAAATGTGATACAATGAGATACTCATGGGAAAAACTGAATGCTCAAGCCTCTGCTGTCCAGTCCCATCTATTGGAAATTCAGCCTAACTTCCGAGGAAATCTAATAGATAATGTTAAAGTATTTGTTGTAGATTGTAATAATTTCTACAATGAGTATGATGAGGTAAAGAAATATTTTATCTTTCTTAACAATTCCTTTACAACATAATACAGAACTATTTGGTTTTAGATGACCCCAGTGTTCTATGGAAATGGGGGGGTTGAATGGCCGAATGGTTAGCACGCGCACGCTGTATCATACGGTCTGTCATTGAGTCAACTAGCGGGGTTTCGATTCCCCGGTTGTACATGACAAGGAGTAGGGTCGCCTGTCCAACCTCGTGGGTTTTCTCCGGGTCCTCCAGTTTCCTCCCACTGCTAAAGACCCCTACGCGCAAGCGAATTATTGAAATAAAGTTGAACCATGTGTTAGTCCCAAAATGACCTAGTTTGTGTCGGGTGGACGTTAAACCCCATTTCTCTCTCTCTATGGAAATGTTTTAATGAACAAAGCCATTATACAGACGTTTACCTGGGACATTTATATACTTTGCATTATTTTCAGGCTGGTCCAATGGTACCTGGAGTAAAACCAAGAGAAGCATCAGATCGACTGATTGTATTCCAAAATCAGTTTGATACTTTGTTCCGTAAATATCAGACATATTCAGGTGGCGAGGAACTGTTCGGACTACAAGTTACAGAGTACCCTAAACTTCATCAAATTCGAAAGGAACTGAATTTACTGCAGAAATTATATGGTTTATATAATGATGTTATTGATACAGTACATGGTTACTATGATATTCTATGGCAGGAAGTTAATATTGATAAAATTACACAAGAATTACAAGATTTCCAGACAAGGTACATTTTGATATATTCAATCTATAGCTTTAAATAAATTAAAAGCCCCAAAATCACTGTATTTTCATTCCCTACTAAATGTACTTTTATTTTAGATGCCGTAAACTACCAAAAGCTTTGAAAGATTGGCCAGCTTTTGATGATTTAAAGAAGACAATTGATGATTTCAATGAAATGGTTCCATTGTTAGAGTTGATGGCTAACAAAGCTATGAAAAACCGTCATTGGCAACGTATGTCCGATGTCACTGGACATGTTTTTGATATTGAAAGTGAATCGTTTACATTGAGGAACATTCTAGAGGCACCGTTACTTAAATATAAAGAAGAAATTGAGGTAAATTTACAATATTTGTATATTTGAAAACCACATAATAAAAGAGGAGTACATCCAGTTCTATTCTGGGCATCCTACTGTACGAAGCAAAATCACCAATTTATGATTTGGGGTTTGCAAGAAATAAAACTTTAGAGTGTTTTTGATAAGGTTTCATGCTATTTAAATCTGGCCTCCTTTATTCACATTCAATTTCTTTCTCAACGTTGTTTGTATGGACCTGATAATTTTGTATGGAACTGATAGTATTAATGTTCATCATTTTGCAATTCAGACTTGTAAATTATATTCTAGGTTTAAGTATTAAACAAGAAAGAAAATAAGCAACACTTTGTGCATGTACTAAAAATTGATAATTTTGAATGTTTTCGTCAACCTAATACACTTATGGAGAAAATACAAGGTCGTGTACACAGTGCATGTTAAGGATTGTTATCTCGCTAGTAGTCAATTGTTGCTATGGCAAAATTATCTCCTATATTGCTTTAGTGCAGTGCAAACTGAACTATAAGAAATAATTACTTTATGTTAGTATCAGTTGTGGTGTTAAAACATTAAACTCAAATCATTCAAATTAAAATTACTTAAAGATACATTATGGAAGAGCTACATCTCCCTGTTGCAGGTCTTTTTTTGGCCTCAAATATAAATCATTATTTTGACATTTACTCACATGACAACACCATAATCAACTCTTAATACCATCGGATGGTCGGGATTTTTAATGGATTGAAACATGATCGCAATTTAATAATTTAATTTAAAAATAAATATTTGAAACTTTGTTTATTATCGTAACAATGGTAGCAGTGAAAATTGAGACTAAACTATTATTGTATTTTTCTTATAGGATATCTGCATCTCAGCTGTTAAAGAAAAGGATATCGAAGCTAAACTGAAACAAGTAACTTTAGATTGGAGTACCAAAGAGTTTACATTTGGCAGCTTCAAGAGTCGTGGGGAATTGTTATTGCGAGGTGATACTACATCAGAAATTGTGTCTATTATGGAGGATTCACTTATGGTTCTGAGCTCACTGCTGAGTAACAGGTATTTGATACTTTTTTACTGAAATGATGCTTTGAAGTTATTTTGATGAATTTTCTCAATAGGTTTGTCAATAATAGGAATTGTTTCTTCTATAATGAAATCATTTTTCTTCCATTTCATAAAACTGAAATGAAATGAAATGGGGTTTAACGTCCTACTGTTCTGCTCTGAATTGGGCTAATGAAGACGGCTTCATAAAACTGACATCTCAAACCAAAAGATAACTAAGTACAATAGCTGTTTTGGAAAATCTGAATTGAAATATGTATTGTGTTGCTTCATTTAGTTACTGAATATTTTTTTACATATAGATCAAAGAGGTCACAGGTTTTCAGTTCAGAGGTAATGAAAGTTTGTAAATTTTGATTTCAGATATAATGCACCATTTAAGAAGAACATCCAACACTGGGTACAGAATTTAACCAATTCATCAGAGATAATAGAGAATTGGATGACCGTACAGAATCTCTGGGTTTATTTAGAAGCTGTGTTTGTTGGTGGAGATATAGCTAAACAGTTACCCAAGGTACGAACAATAATTTTTTTTTTCCTTATTAGAATATTGTAATTACATGGAAAGTAGGATTGGAGATTGAAGAAATTGATATATATATATATATATAATATTTGAAAAATATATAATTGAACCAGGAACTGTTATATACACTTGGTTATCATCTTTTTGTTGGAGTGACATTCTTGAAGAAAGTCCTAGGCTCAATGAATTTGAGTACAGTCGACATGAAACTAGGCATATTTGTTGTTTGGAAAATTGTGTATCAAGTTACAATACATGCTGTGATTGGTAAGCTAGCATTTGGAGATTTTTTTTGCCATAATTAACTATATTAATAAAGCATACAAACTTGGATTTTACAGGAAGCTAAAAGATTTAGTAATATTGATAAATCCTGGGTGAAGATCATGACCCGAGCTCACGAGACATCACAGGTTGTACAATGTTGTGTTGGTGATGAAACACTCATGCAACTGCTGCCACATTTACTGGAACAATTAGAACTTTGTCAAAAATCATTGACAGGGTAAATATTTTAGTATTTTCATAAGTATCTACTTTTGTCTTCAATGGGAAATGTGTACAAATAATAATCACACAAGAGTGACTGGAGTCTTTTTTTTGAAAGAATGGATCGTTGATATCTTAAGATGATAATGAATTAAAAGTGCATATGTATCCTCGATTTACAAACATATTTCTTGTTTAATCAATTTCTTAATTTTTCAGATATCTTGAGAAGAAACGTCTCTCATTTCCACGATTTTTCTTTGTGTCTGATCCAGCCTTGCTAGAAATATTGGGTCAAGCCAGTGACCCTCATACCATCCAGGCTCACTTGCTCAGTGTCTTTGACAACATCAAAACTGTTAAATTTCATGATAAATTCTATGATCATATCCTGGCCATTGAATCATCTGAAAAAGAAACAATTGAGGTATTAGAAATATTTTTGTGTTTACAATAAGTACTGTATGATATTTTTAAATTATGCAGTAGTAGTTTGAAATTGATTCCAAATGAAGGACACAAGTGCAGTGGCAAGATATTAATATTCCTATTTATTTCACTCCTATTCATCTTCTCCACCATAGGGCACATGTACCTACTTGGTATAATATATAGTGTTGTCAGGGAACCAGTATACACACCCACTACAAGCAATTTGAAGGGTGGCTTTCAGGTTTTTTAAATATTGATACAGGAATAGCTGAACAGTCCCAGCAAAAAACTCTGACCTGTAAAGTGTTGACAAGGTTTCATTGACTTTTAAAAATAGTTACACAACTCTAAATCTTAAAAGTGTTTTTCCTTATGACCAGCCAAACAGTCCCAGTAAGTTTAATAGGGCTCCTCTTTATGACCAGTATTTTGCACATATAAACTACAAATTTAACTGTATTTATTGTGTTGTAAAGTTAAATTCTTTGGCATTGCAATCTTGTGGCTCATACAGACTACGAATTTAACTGTACATATTTTGTTTTAAGAGAAAATTCTTTCAAATTCTTATTTTATGACATGATTTTTGACTAACAGGTAATTTCTCCAGCAGATCAATTTCTTTGCAAGGCATTCATAGTCATACCAGTAATTATGACTGAAATTAGAGCCCTGATTCCTCCTTGGGACTATCCAAACTATCTCAGCAAGTCATGGCCACCCATATTCCTAAGCCTCAACTTTGAAAGAGATTTTACAAATACCGGAGAATATACACCCAACCCAGACGAAATGTGGGTGTACGAAAGCAACAATTAGCTGATTAGTTGACTTTAAATCCATCCTGGTAACTTTGAGTTATGTTTTGAATGACAATAATTTTATATCTGATTCCAGTTAGAAAAGTTTGTGAAAGCAGAAGGTAATGTAGAAGTGTGGTTAATGTCCTTGCTACAGATGTCACAGAAATCAGTACATGGTGTTATTAGAACTGCTGCCATGGCTATACAAGACACTAGTTTTAATTTACTAGAGTTCTTAAACATGTTTCCAGCCCAAGTAAGTTCTTTATTAAGTGTGAAAAATTAACAGTAAGAATGATGGAAAATTTTTTGATATTATGAGTACATTAATTCAATGTCAATCATTTCTTCTGAATTGTTTTGTATAATATTAGTCGCCCCGCATTGCATGTACGGGTGAGTGTCTACTATAGTTTTGATTCTGAGTTAAAAATTTGCCAGAAAAATACATAGTTATCAGGACGGTACTGGGCTTATAGTCCGTAAAAGTATAGTATATGTGTTTCCATAATAATGCCATAATCATTAATTAATTGTGAATTTCATCATTTAATATTGCACCAAATACAAAATAAATAGAACCAAACTTGTTTGAAAATAATGGTTATTATTAAGTTATTTTAAAATTGATATGTTCAATTATTTGGTTTCCTAGATCGAACACACCCACAAACAAAAAATCTCTTTTATTTTTATATATATATATATAGAGATATTTAATCTGATATTGTAATGCATCACAATGTGAAATGTTTGTTGTAACTTCCATACTCATGCTTGTACATGTAGTTGTGAATAAACTATTATTATTATTATTATATATACATATAGATTAAAGCTGATAAATTTATGTTATTGTTATATATTTTCTGTTTTAATCTTTAAGGTGTGTAGGTTACACTACTGTACCAGATATTACCATAAACATGCATTCATTTCAAATTCTTTTATTTTAGATTGGTTTATTAGGTATTCAGATGATTTGGACTCGTGATTCGACTGAAGCTCTGACCAATGCTAAATATGACAAGAAGATAATGCAGCAGACAAATCAAGGTTTCTTGGATTTACTCAATAAACTTATTGATAAAACAACACAGGATTTAGGCAAAGTAGAAAGAACAAAGTTTGAAACTTTGATCACCATACATGTACATCAAAGAGATATCTTTGATGATCTAGTAAGTATATATCGAATTAGATTTCTTATTCAACATAACTCTCAATTTTTGTAGTCAGAATTACCTATTTAATTACCCAATATGTTAGCGGGAGGGATTGTTATTTGTAATATTGGAAGGGTGACATCCCAAGACAAAGTCTTGTTACCGATACATGGATTTTATGAATTTAAAAGATAATTGTAATTGTGATATACAGAATTAGAATATTGATTTATTTTCATTTTTGAAATTTTGATTGTGAAAATGGGTATATTGTCATTATTTATTTATCATTCAGGTCAGAAACCACATCAAGTCTCCAACAGATTTTGAATGGATGAAACAGTCCCGATTCTATTTTATAGAAGATCAAGATAAATGTTTGATTTCTATCACAGATGTAGACTTTGTGTATCAGAATGAGTTTTTAGGTTGTACTGAGAGACTGGTTATTACACCATTGACCGATAGATGTTACATCACTCTCGCCCAGGCATTAGGTATGTCTATGGGAGGTGCTCCAGCTGGACCTGCAGGTACTGGAAAGACAGAAACTGTCAAAGATATGGGTCGATGTTTAGGAAAATATGTTGTTGTATTCAACTGTTCTGATCAGATGGATTTCAGAGGTCTTGGAAGAATATTCAAAGGTAAGAAAATTAAACCATTGGATTAAATATGATACACAGACTTGTTCTGTAAGTGCCATGATAGTCTTAAAACTGATATACATTTTAGTTATGACATTTATTTTCATTGTTTCAGGTTTAGCACAATCTGGATCTTGGGGATGTTTTGATGAATTTAATCGTATTGACCTGCCTGTGTTGTCAGTTGCTGCTCAACAAATTGCCATTGTCTTGAGCTCTAAGAAAGAACGAAAGAAGAACTTTATCTTTACTGATGGAGATAATGTTGATCTTAATCCTGAATTTGGTATCTTTTTAACCATGGTAAGTAAATTCTTTTTATAGAGAATATTCAAAGTGAATCCAAATCTGTAAGGCATGTTCTGACCAGGGAATGCTACTTAAATTGCATCAAAAATGCTTAGACTAATTACATTTTGTTTTGAAAATTTTGCAATTTAAGACATATTTATTATCTGCTTGGACATTATATGCACACTTTTTGTAAATCTTCTTTTGAATAAAATGATCTCTAACATATTAATTTTTCTTTCAAAGAATCCTGGTTATGCTGGTCGTCAAGAATTGCCAGAGAATTTGAAAATTAATTTCCGTACAGTAGCTATGATGGTGCCAGATAGGCAAATTATTATCCGTGTTAAACTGGCTGCTGTTGGTTTTATAGATAATATAACCCTTGCTAGAAAATTCTACACGCTGTATAAACTGTGTGAGGAACAGCTTACTAAACAGGTAACATGTTCTTTCAATTTAAATTTTATATGCAATGATGATACTTTGAATATGCCACATAAAGAATACTTTTGAGATTTTAGGAAAATAAAAACACACTTGACTAATATGATGAAATAAATTATTGTGTAGCTGTTGTAATTTAGAACATTTTGAATTACTTTTAGGTTCATTATGATTTTGGATTGAGAAACATTCTGTCTGTATTGAGAACTCTGGGAGCAAATAAACGTCTTAACCCAACAGATACAGAATCAACTATTGTCATGAGAGTGTTACGTGACATGAATCTATCCAAACTAGTGGACCAAGATGAACCATTGTTCTTGTCTCTGATCAACGATTTATTTCCTGGTATAACATTAGATAAGGCTGGGTATCCAGAACTGGAGAAAGCAATAACTGATAATGTTGATGAAGCCAAGTTGATCAATCATCCAGCATGGACGCTTAAACTTGTACAGGTATTTATTCAGTCAACCATTCCATTTGAAAAGATTTCTTTGCCTTACTCTTGTTCATTTCAAATGTGATTTTTAGATCGGAAGCCTTGGTGACAAAATTATGCTAACATATATAGTAAACAAAAGGAATGCTAAAATAAAGCGTTAAGTCATGCTTTTCTGTAAATGCCAATATTGCGTGATTCAAACCATTGTCACCACAAATATTTCTTTTATTTTAGTTGTTTGAAACTCAACGTGTACGTCATGGTATGATGGCATTAGGACCAAGTGGTGCTGGTAAAACGTCATGTATTCATATGTTGATGAAGGCTATGTCAGATTGTGGTGAACCACACAAAGAATGGCGTATGAATCCTAAAGCTATAACAGCACCACAGATGTTTGGACGACTTGATGTTGCAACAAATGATTGGACAGATGGTATATTCTCTACTTTATGGAGAAGAACCACCAGAGTTAAGAAAGGTAACACTATGGATACATAACTTAAAGCCACATGATCAAGGCAATTCCTAAATCAAATTTGTATTTATTCTGGGTGCTAAATTTGAAGTAAAACATTATTATTTTTTAGGAAAAGTCCACTGGTTTAAATTATTAACTTTTATCGGAATAGGGAATATTTAAGGCAATAGTCTTGCATTTTACTGTGTAATACATTCTCTTCATCTAATAGTAATAAAACCAATAATGGCAAATCATTTTCTGGTAAAATAACTCATATACTCAGTGATGTCTGATGAAGTATGGTCTACAGAACCGAACACCAGCCCATCTTTTTGGCCAATTTTAGGCATATTATTAATGCTGTACAATTTTATATCAGTTATATGCATGAGGTGATGCTTATTAAGTTTGACATATTTTGAATTGATTTTTACAGGTGAACATATATGGCTAGTACTAGATGGACCAGTTGATGCCATTTGGATTGAAAATTTAAATTCTGTATTAGATGATAATAAAACTCTCACCTTGGCTAATGGAGATCGTATACCAATGGCACCCAACTGTAAAATTATATTTGAGCCACACAATATCGATAATGCTTCTCCGGCTACGGTATCTAGAAATGGTATGGTTTATATGAGTAGTTCGGGTCTGCATTGGGAACCAATCTTACAGGTCAGTGGTATTCACTCTGTTGTGATATCAATTTTAGTTTGAGAATCGGACAGGGCTTTCTTTAATTTTCATTTACATAACCCTGCCTGAATGCGAAATTTTACAATAGAGAATTATAGTGTGTTGTGTGAAAATTACTTCACCCCACATTCTGTAATCATGACAAGTAGGTTTTTTTTTTAGAAAAGCATCACTGATTTTGGTTGAGAGACAGCTTAGGATTATGTGATTATGGATATCACTAATAACAAAAAAACATCCAATATGAAATATAATGAAAAACATGGAAGTAATTTTATGAATTTTAATATTTATAGGGTTGGTTGCTCCATAGACCTAATTTTGAGAAGGATATAATCCTCAATCTGTTTAAAGACTCTTTCCCATTTATATTGAGATACGCTGTCCAGAATCTGGTATTCAAAATGGAAGTATTGGAGGCTTTCATTATTACACAGGTGAGTTAAATAACTTGAATAGCATCTCCTGTACCAAAACATATCCATAATCAATTGTTATATGATTTGATAAAAATCAGGTAACATAAAGTAGACTATCTGTGTAAGATAAATAATTAATCATTTTTGAGAGAAATATGCTTAAATATATACTATGACTACCTGATGGAGTCACCACACATCTGCATAATTGAATAGTATAATTAAAGATAAACTCTCTACATTACAGGCTACTAAATTAATGTCAGGACTAATTCCTCTAAAAGATGATAAAGAAGGCGGTCATTATACCAAGGAACATTATGAGAAACTCTACATCTTTACCCTTATGTGGAGTGTTGGAGCTTTTCTTGAATTAGATGATAGAGCAAAGATGGAGGAATTTATTAGAAAGAATGATTCTTTTAAACTGAAACTTCCTGAAATTCCTGCAGGATCTGATTCCACTATGTTTGATTATCTAGTTGATACAGATGGTAAATTTTCAAAATATTATTTAATATAAACTCTTAATAAAAAATAGAAGGGTGAAATGAATTAAATATTCGTGCTTGTCGAATCCTTGACTATAGGGATTTAACTTGTCAAATTAATTAATACAACAAAATATTCACAGTGTATGACTGATGATAGCTGAAAGTTAAAATATTTATTTTCTATAGGATCATGGATTCACTGGAACCAGAGAGTAACAGATTACATCTATCCATCAGATCATACACCAGAATATTGTAACATCTTAGTACCTAATGTAGACAATGCCCGTACAGAGTTCTTGATAAAAACTATTTGTAAGCAAGAACAAGCTGTATTATTGATAGGAGAACAGGGTACAGCTAAAACCGTTATGATAACTAATTATATGAATCATTATAATCCTGAAGAACATTTGGCACAATCCGTCAACTTCTCTTCTGCTACAACACCGTTACTCTTCCAGGTAGGTAGAATAAGAATACTAGCTATGTTGGGGATACTTGTGAAAGAAAATATCTCCACCAATTAACACATTTGAAACTGTTCACTGTCACGATCAAATAATTTTAGCTTAATACTGTTTGTATGATAACACTTCGATAGCTGCATTGGCCGAGAAAGTTCATCCAGATTTTCCGGTGTGATTCCCCCTTGTCAGTGATGCAGGACGGAGGGCCTGACAAACACAGCTGTCTAGTCATTTGGATGGGACAAAAAAAAAAGGAGGTTCCGTGTACACATTGGCGTGCACATAAAAGATCCCTTGATAGTTGGAATTCGATATAAGAGTGGGCTGTAGTGTTGCTGTCCGGGAAAAATTTCCCTCATAGCACTCTGTATGTCGTATGCCAGTCTTCTTTAGCCCAGTTTGGAGTAGGACGTTAAACTCCATTTCATTTCATGATAACACTTCAGTAGCTCAATCCTAAATGTGTGCAAATTTGAAAATGTGAGATAAATTGATTGCATCTAATCCAATTGAGAACATTTATTTCTAGAGGACCATAGAAAGTTATGTTGATAAACGAGTTGGTACTACGTATGGTCCACCAGCTGGTAAAAAGATGACTGTATTTATAGATGATATTAATATGCCTGTAATTAATGAGTGGGGAGATCAGATAGCTAATGAAATAGTTCGACAGTTGATGGAAACAAAAGGTTTTTATAATTTAGAGAAACCTGGAGATGTTATCAATTTAGTTGATATGCAGGTAAGTAGTTATACAACCAAATAGAGATAATTTGTAACTTCAATATCTTTCAAGTATTTAAGATCATTGTTTTTTCAATTCTGCACTTGAATCATTCTTCAATACATAGTGATTATTTAGAATCTTAAAATTGGCTTTTGGATACTATTATTTCTTAAAATGTTATTATAAGTAATTAAACATTGTATTTATTCTCTAAAAGTTCCTGTTTCCTATCATTTCATTTAGATAAATGTTTAACTTGAAATTTGATTCTATTGTATTTTAAATTGCCAGTTCTGTGCTGCTATGATTCAACCAGGAGGAGGTAGAAATGATATACCACAACGTTTAAAACGACAATTTGCCATCTTTAACTGTACTCTACCATCAAACCCATCTATTGATAAAATCTTCTCCATTATTGGTACTGGCCATTTCTGTAGTGAACGAGGCTTTTCTGATAATGTCCGGAGTTTGGTAAAGAAATTAATTTCTGTTACCAGACGACTCTGGCAATTAACCAAGGTTTGTTGTCCATATTTCTATATATAATAACCAATGTATGGATCATGAAAGAAATTAATGTGAAACTGCTGATTAATTTCATGCTTTGTCTAAAACTAAAATCATGTTTTTATTTTTAGTAAAATATTTTATAACATTGTTTAGAAAGATACATCTTCTCTCTTCCACAGATCAAAATGTTGCCAACTCCAGCTAAATTCCATTACATCTTTAATTTACGGGATTTGTCACGTATCTGGCAGGGCATGTTAAATACTGAATCATCAGTTGTAACTACACCAGAAATATTAATGGGATTATGGAAACATGAATGTTGTCGAGTCATAGCTGACAGGTGAAATAAATAACCAAGAATAAATTAAATTTGAATTAAAACTTTAAGATTTAAATCCTGAAATAAAATGATAAATGTTTTAAAAATGATATTTAATAATTTTTTAAGAATTTCAAATATATATATATATATAATGATGTTGTTTTGTGGGACATAGATTTACAGACGTTGAGGATATGTCATGGTTTACTAAAACAATGTTACGTGTGGCTACAGAAGATTTAAATGAAAGCCATGCTAGTATGATTGAATCAACTGAATACTATGTAGATTTTTTGAGGTATAGTCTAATGAAATTTAGATCACTAGCAGATCTATATGTGTTGCTTTTTTACACCTGGCACTTGGTTTGGTTTTCTCCTTTATTTAGATGTGTTAAAATGAATGTTATTTCTCTAAGGTGGACACTAAAAAATGTATATTCTAAATTTAGACGTAACAATATATTGAACCGTAATAAGCTTTAGAGGCAAACTTCCAGTTGTCTATGTTCCTTTTGTTGGAAAATAACGATATTAATCCCATATTAGTAAAAAGGAGATTAAACAAATATCTAATGGTTCATAATGTATTCTTCTAATCTATTAAAATATTTAGAGAATATAAATTATCAGGTATTTAGAAATATTGTGCATTTTTAATAACACCCCACTACAGAGAAATAACGTTCATTTCCCTAAACTTAATATTTTTTGCACATTTCAATATTAAAATTATGGCTACTAACTAGGTTTGTGAATCCTGAAGATGGACACTGGTTTGATAAGACATTGAAACGAGTTGTGGCAGAAGATTTAGGAGAAGAAAATGTCAACCTTGTAAACCCTACATTGCATTTTAGTGATTTCTTGAGGTATATACATGTATTATTTACTATAAACAGTAAATAACTGGTATATAATCATTTCATAGTATTTTTCTTTTGGAAACATCATAATACAAATTGATCATATAATTTTTAATGCCATTTATTGGTGTCTTTGACAGTTTCGTAAATGAATCCGCTTTGAAATGTCCCGACCCTTGTAGACACACAGAAATGTTTTTTATGCTTTGAAGTTTTCTAAAAAAAAAAGCTTTGACTGATCAATGTGAAGAATTGTTGAAGTCTGATAACATGCATGAAAAAAGCTACTAACACTACTCACAAATTACAACACTGCATGCAAAAGAATAACAGTATATTAAAACAATTTTAATAACAATAATTAGATAAACAGTCTTTATTTAAATTTGCTTTCTTTAAATTTTGGCAATTTGTTACAATATTCTATATTCATTGAATTTTATTATGTAAATCTTTAAAGTACAGTTTTGTATTAAATAAATATGATATACGGTTTGTAATTGTATCTAGAATATAGGTATAAACTTTAATATTTATGATATTTAGAGATGCACCTGAAGCTACAGGAGAGGAACCAGATGATGCAGATTTTGATATGCCGAAGGTGTATGAACCTGTAAGTTCAAGAACAATTTACTTCTAAATGTTCTGCTATAGCCTTTTCACAGACATCTGAAAAAGTTGTTACACCTGTCACATTGACATCTGAAAATCTTTTCCAGAAATATGACTATAACAAGTCTTGAATTAAGAAATAAAACAATAATAAATCTGCTGAAAATTGGATATTTTATTTTTTTCTATTTTTGTGAAATTTAATTTGTCAGTAACTTCCATGTGTTTGATTTTTGTGGCATGCAAATTGACAGGAAGATTTATCAGCTTGACATTGACTACCCAGTTTCGCTTCTTTCAATAATTTTTCATTTAACTTTTAAAATGTACATTATTCTGTTTAGATATATTTTAAACTTGACTGATCTATTTGGTATATTTTCTAGAGCTTTCACATATATACAGGAATTTATGTATGTAGCCACAACCGATTGTTTAGTATGAACTGGTTTTTAAACATTTAAATAATTCTTTCCTTTGTAATTCAGATTGAATCACTACAACAATTAGAAGAAAGATTGGGCTTTTTCTTACAACAGTATAATGATAGTATCCGTGGTGCTGGTATGGATCTGGTATTTTTTAAAGATGCCATGATACATTTGTTGAAAGTTTCTAGAATAATACGAACTCCGAGAGGACATGCATTACTTGTAGGTGTTGGTGGATCTGGCAAACAATCTTTGACACGATTAGCTTCATTTATTGCAGGCTATAAAACATTTCAGATTACTTTAACCAGGTAATTATTATTGATGTGGAAATATATCTAAATGTATATTGGTCTTCGTATTAATATTTTTATACTCCCACCTTTTTTGTGGACGTATTATGCCGTCGCCCCTGTCCGTCCGTCCGGCCGGCCACAATTTGTTTGTGGACACTCTACAGATCACAATTTTTATCCGATTTTGGTGAAACTAAAAAATATAGGTTTATCTCCCAAAGATCTCGGTTCATTTCGATATTGGCATGTATCGAACTGTAACTACATGGATTATGGCCCCTGATAGTACGGAAAGTCACATTTTTAGCTTGTGGACACACCAGAGGTCACAATTTTCACCCAATTTTGATGAAACTTGAAATGCATGTTCATTAACCCAAAGATCTTGGTTCCTTTTGATATTCGCGCATATCGGATTGTAACTTCCTGAATTATGGCCCCTGATTGTATGAAAAATCGTGTTTTTAGCTTGTGGTCCCTCTAGAGGTCACAATTATTATCTGTTTTAAAAAAACGTTCGAATATGTCACCGTTACACCATAATTTTGGTTCAGTTCGAATGAATAATCGTGTGTTTAGCTTTTGGTACCTCTAGAGGTCACAATTATTATCCGATTTAAAAAAACGTTTGAATAGATCACCGTTACACCGTATAATTTTGGTTCAGTTTGAATTTCGTGAAAATTGGTCCAAAACGACCAGACAAAATGGCCGCTCGTCGTACACAAGTAGTGTAAACATCTGGTATATCAAGGTTGTGTACCCTCTAGAGAAATTGAAATGAAACTGCCCAACAAAATGGCCACTCTTTGTAGGCAAATTGTGTGAAAGTATGTAATACGAAGGTTGTGGACCCTCTAGAGGTCACAATATTTATCCGATTTTGATGAAACTTAAAACATATCTTTATATCCCAAAGATCTCAGTCCCTTTCGATATTTGCGCATTTCAGACCATAATTTTCTGAATTATTGCCCCTGATTGTACAAAAAAATCTCGTGTGTTTTTAGCTTGTTCTCTATCTATCTCTTGAAAATGTGGGCGTATCCTGCCTGGCAGCCGCTGGTTGCTTTCTCTTTTTAGATTAGAGTTCAGTTTATATCATAATAAATAAAACATCACAATTATGAAGTTCGAAAAATAATTAATTTATTACATATTTATTTTCTACAGATCATACAACGTATCTAACTTATTAGAAGATTTGAAGTATCTCTATAGAACGGCTGGTCAACAGGGAAAAGGAATAACATTTATATTTACTGATCAAGAAATTAAAGATGAAGGTTTCTTAGAATATCTCAACAATATGTTGTCATCTGGTGTGGTAAGTAATTTAATCTAAAAAAAAGTAATTTCTATAAATGTTATATTTAAGCTTACATAAAGAAAACAACATTTTGATGTAAATGTAGTAAATTACAGATTAGTCAATATTATCTTATAGAATGTACAGTTTTATTCTGAAATGGATAACAGTATTATTTTTTGACAACTTTTTTTTTGTCTATGTCTTTATACTCGGGGATATTGGCATTTTTTTTTCTAAGCAAGGAGATTGGTGTACAGCTATTTGCCAAGTATACTTATCATAGAAAATGCTTTAAATTTAAAATTTTCAGTATTGGTTAATTATCAACTTTTTTCAGGTTGCTAATTTGTTCGCTCGTGATGAAATGGATGAGATATTAGGAGAATTGGTTCCTATCATGAAGAAGGAGTTTCCAAGACGACCACCATCCAATGAAAATCTATATGAATATTACTTGTCGAGAGTTCGTAATAATCTGCATATCTCTCTCTGTTTCTCACCTGTAAGTACAACTTATTATCCTTCTCTTTATTCATTGTACTTGGATCAGAAATTAATGCTGTGCTTATAGCTGTCCATATAGAAAGATAATACACAATCAGAGTGATCTAAACATTGTTATGCTTTCTTCTGTCTTTGAAACAATCAAAATACAAGCTCACATTTCTTGAGAGGGTTTTTTTCTAGATAAAAGGATCAATTAAGATTATTTATAGTGATACATATGAAAATAACTGGTCAGATTTATTGAAATATTTCTTTATTATATTAGGTTGGAGAGAAGTTCAGACAGAGGGCTCTGAAGTTCCCTGGACTGATTTCTGGTTGTACCATGGATTGGTTCCAGAGATGGCCAAAGGATGCTTTAATAGCTGTAGCTGATCATTTCCTCTGTAATTTTGACATTAAATGCAGTGATGAGGTCAAAATTCAAGTTATACATTCTATGGGAACCATACATGACGGTGTAGCTGAAAGCTGTGTGGAATATTTCCAAAGGTACTTCTATTTATTTCTGAAGTTTATTCTTACATCTGATCAGGCCTGGGTCCCAATGCTATTAGCAGTGGAAAGAGTGTAGATGTTCAGATCGTAGGAATTCGAGTTCATACCAGTGATATCACTATTAGTCCCAAAATGTACAGAGTGATGCAAGCGATGTCAAGAGATGATTAGACTTCTTTGTTTCATTTTTAGTATTTCATGTGTTATGTTTCAGGTATCGACGCTCTACTCATGTAACACCTAAGTCTTACCTATCATTTATCAATGGATATAAAACTATTTATTCCAACAAGAAAGAAGAAATTGGAGATCTAGCTAAAAGGATGACAACAGGTAATATAATAGTTATTTCTTCAATTATGAACAAACTACTTAACTGTGGTTATTATAAACTTACCTGTGTGTTTGAAATCATCTCCCGTTGAATAAAATCCTTTGCACAATTGAATATTCCAATGATTAAAAGAGTTCTCTCTTGAAAAATTTGACGTATTTACTTATTTTCAACCGAGTGCAAGACAACATTGCTTTCGTCACGTGTTGAGCGAAACCAAAAAAAAAACTATTCTGGGGATGGTTTAATTTTGACAGAGTTTGACAGCCATGTATTACAATCAAAACAAAGCGGGATCATGTCGATCGTTTGAGTTTGGGCATTCTGTCACTCCTTTATACAAAATGATCTCTCCCGAAGAGTGACGTAACCAGCTTCCATTTTGGTATAGCTCATGTCAGAAGTTTGTGGGAATTCAATTTTTCAAGAGAGAACGTTTTTATTCATTGGAATATTTAATTGTGCAATGGATTTTATTTAACGGGAGTTGACTTCAAACACACAGTAAGTTTATAATAACCAAAGTTAACTAGTTTGTTCGTAATCAAAGAAATCCGTTTAATATTTACGACGGTTTAGACAGTAAGTATTTGGTAGTATTGGATTAATATTTGCTTCTTTTGGGTGATATAGGAGGCAAATGGAACAACCAGACATTGGTATCGCATTTCAAGTACATTTCCCGCAATATACAACTCTCTATTTTTGGAAAAAAATCAAATGATATGGCCATTTTGCAACATTATGTTGTAGTATTGGGTAGTATGTGGTGATATTGAGGTGATATTGGGGTGGTATTGGGTAGGTTTGGGTAGTATTGGGTAAATCACCCCACCGCATTGATGATAATCACAAGTTTCCAAGTTCAGATTGTTGCAAGAATTTTAAATATGTCAAACTCTCTACATATCAAAATGTCAAGTAATTTTATATCTAGTAATTTGAAGGCATTTAGAATTTGTTTCCCACATTCATTATAGAAAGTAACCCCTGGGAAGTCTATATTCTATTCTGTTTTGAAGTTGATGCAAAATACAATGGTATGTTTCAATATTCCAGGTTTGGAAAAACTGATAGAAGCCTCGTTAGCGGTTGCAGAATTGAAGAAAGATTTAGCTGTTAAAGAAAAAGAATTGGCCATTGCTTCGGAAAAAGCTGAAAAGGTATTAAAAGAGGTAACAGTAAAAGCTCAAGCTGCGGAAAAAGTTAAAAATCAAGTACAGAAAGTAAAAGATAAAGCCCAGGCTATTGTTGATATGATTGACAGAGACAAGGCTGTAGCTGAGGAGAAGTTAGAAGCTGCTAGACCTGCCTTGGAAGAGGCTGAAGCTGCCCTGAACACTATTAAACCTGGTGATATATCTACTGTACGAAAACTTGGTCGTCCACCACATCTCATCATGAGAATTATGGACTGTGTATTGCTATTATTCCAAAATAAAGTCAATGCTGTTATAGTTGATCCTGAAAAACCAGAATTCCTTAAACCATCATGGTCAGAATCTTTGAAGGTAACTTTTTGCATAGTTTTAGTGATGCTTTAAATATGATTAGGGGATCACGTTGCTAAGTGGGTAAGACACTGACTCACTAGCCTGGAGGTTGGGTGTTCGATCCCTGCATTAGCCGAGAAAGTTCATCCCGTTTTCCATCGTGGTTTCCCCTTGTCAGTGATGCAGGACGGAGGGCCTGACAAGGACAGCTGTCTAGTCGTTCGGATGGGACGAAAAACCTAGGTCCCGTGTACAGATTGGCGTGCTCGTAAAAGATCCCTTGGCAGTTGGAATTCGATATAAGAGTAGGCCGTAGTGCCGCTGCCCGGGCAAAATTTCTCTCATAGCACACTGTATGGCGTATGCCCGTCTTCATTAGCCCAGTTTAGGAGCAGAACAGTAGGACGTTAAACCCCATTTCATTTTAAATATGATTAAGATAATAATAAAGTACATTATTATTGGAACTTGAATGAAATTTATTACTTCATTCAAATTGGAATTGTAACAAACAGATGTACATCATGAAGTTAGGCTAACTTGTGTCTAAAAATTTATGCGACCATGGTTGATTAAAATGTTATCATATAATGTTCTTAATTCAAATAAAAGATATGTTTTTTTTTTGCAATTTTCAGTTGATGTCTGGTACCAACTTTTTACAAGCTTTGGTTACATTCCCCAAAGATTCTATTAATGATGAAACTGTTGAATTTCTAGAACCATATTTTATGTCAGAAGAATATACTATGGAAACAGCTAAACGCGTTTGTGGTAATGTGGCTGGTTTATGTGGATGGACTAAGGCTATGTCTTATTTCTTTGGTATCAACAAAGAAGTTTTACCACTAAAAGTGAGTTGCATTTGGATATTTTTATGTACACAATAAGTCATTTTTGTGTCTCACACAAATGACATTTGGATGGAATGCCATTTAAAGCCACATTGGCAAGTTTTGGGTTCAGAGGCAGTTTTTATATACAAGACCTAAGTTGGAACAAATTGTTTGATGAATGTTTTATATTATTGCTTTTCAGGCCAATCTAATTGTACAACAATCCAAACTAAATTCTGCTATGGCTGATTTAAACGCTGCCCAGGAAACATTGGATGCTAAAGAGAAAGAACTGGCTGTTGTAAGAGGAGAATATGAAAAGGCCATGGCAGAAAAACAGGTGCACACATTATTACATGTCTCTTTAATTTTAAGATGAAATAATTTTTAGAAAAGAGGATTGTTTTTTTACAAGCCAGTCTTATTAAAAAACAAACCAATAAAGTCTTTCTGACAATTTCACAATACAAATGTACATATATTTCAAAACTAATAATTTATATTTCTGTTATGAAGACTTTGGTAGACGATGCAGAAACTTGCAGACGCAAGATGAATGCAGCATCTGCTCTTATTGATGGATTGGCAGGAGAAAAAGAAAGATGGACAGAACAAAGTAAAGAATTTCAAGCACAGATTGGAAGGTATTTATATATACAATAGACATATTGACTGACTATCTGCCACTTTAAACCCTGAAAATATTTGGGTGCCGCATACCTTATTCTGACTTTACAGCTCAATTTTGCAAAAATGACATCATTTTAATTGGAACTAAATGTTAGGTGTGCAGTAATTTGGTATTATCGCTTGTTATAAGAGCTAGCACATCCATTGCAACACACAGTTCATCGAAAAATTTGCCGGAATTGAAATGTAAACAAGTGGAAGGAAATTGCTATTTACAACTGACCCAGAGCAAACGGTAAACAGCATTTTGATTGACTATTTTGTTATTGTTAAGGAAGCGTGTTAGAAGACACGCCCACAAGCCGCAAAACCAACATTTCAGGACTATGTGCTGCAGTGTCAAAGCCAGTTTTACGGCACTTCAGGTTCTAATAGTTAAAGAAAGCCCCAGTAGTTTTAAGACGGTGTTATTTTTTTTATTACAAACATTTTGTTCCAAATAGTATTCAAATCAATGAATTCTAACTTAGTTTATGGTTATTTTAAGGTTATTTTGTACAAGCCTGTCCATTGTAACTGAAGGTCTTTTTATTCTTTCAACCTCGTGGGTTTTCTCCGGGGCCTCCGCTTTCCTCCCACTGCTAAAGACCCCTACGCGCAAGCAAATTATGTAAATAAAATTAAACCATTTGTTAGTCCCGAAATGACCTAGTTTGTGTCGAGTGGATGTTAAACCCCATTTCTCTCTCTCTCTCTCTCTCTTTTTATTCTCAGATGTGCTTAATTTTATAACAACAATGATGTACAGGTATAGTTTTGACTTGCATGTAAACAATCTAGCTTGTACCATAAACAAAGACTTCTTTAATCATGATGTTTTCAGATTAAATTATTGCAGTGATAGTCTGTGAATAAGATTTTTTAACTTTAGATTTTGGATGTAATTAACAATAAGGATTACACACCTTTTTTTATTTTTATTATAGGCTGGTTGGTGATGTATTGATGTGTACAGCCTTCTTGTCATATTCTGGACCATTTAATCAAGATTTCCGCATTTTACTCAATAAAAACTGGATGAAAGAATTGAAAACTAGAAAGATACCATACAGTGCCAATCTAAATGTCACTACCATGTTAACAGATCCTACTACTGTAAGTTATTTACTTTTAATAAATATGTCATATCAGTGCAGAAAGCGAGTTAAATACTTTTGTTTAGGATCTTTATACCATGATTTGGATCTACACATGAAATCTCCATCCTTAATATTTTGACCATTGAAAAAAAAAATGTGATTAAGAGTAATATTTCTTTCATTGGCAATGGTTGTAAGAGAAAAAAAAACCAAAACAATGTATAGTACCCAATATATTGTGTACTTCCCCCTCCCCCCCCCCCCCATCTTCCATCTTGTCCTGAATCAAAGATATAAATAGATACCCGCAGTAACATCTGTTCCTTTTTAGATTGGTGAATGGAATCTTCAAGGTTTACCTAGTGATGAATTATCAATACAAAATGGTATTATTGTTACTAAAGCTGCCAGGTATCCATTACTTATTGACCCACAAGGTCAAGGTAAATCATGGATTAAGAATAGAGAGATAAAGAATGAAATGCAGGTAGGGATTTCAATATTGCACAGTAACTGTTGGACATATACCAACAAGAAAATAATCAAATATATAACAGATATGCAGTAATTTTTATATGCCCACATTTTCATGTGGACGTATATTGTCGTCGCCCCTGTCCGTCCACAATTTGTTTGTGGACACTCTACAGGTCACAATTTTTATCCAATTTTGACGAAACTTGAAATATAGGTCTATCTTGGTTCCTTTTGATAATCACTCATATCCGAATATAACTTCCTGGATTATGACTCCTGATTGGTTGAAAAATCACATTGTTAGCTTGTGGATTCTCTAGAGATCACAATGGTTTTTCCGATTTCAAAAAGCGTTTATATACATCACCATTCCACCATAATGAAGGTTGAATTGCAATTTCAGGAAAATCGAAATGACAAAATGGCCGCTATTTGTAAGCAAATTGTGTATAAAGTATGTAATACAAAGGTTATAGACCCTCTAGAGGTCACAATTTTTATCCGATTTTGATGAAACTTAAAACATATCTTTATTTTCCAAAAATCTCAGTCCCTTTTAATATTTGTGCATTTCAGACCATAACTTTCTGGATTATGGCCCCTGATTGTACAAAAAATTGTTTTTGTTTTTAGCTTATTCTCTATCCATCTCTTGTAAAATGTTGGCGTATCCTGCCTGCAGACAGCCGCTGGTTGGGTTTCACATACCAGTAAAATATGGCATAAAATAAATTCAAAAGTCAACTGCACAGATTTAAATTGTGTATCAAACACACGAAGTCAGTTTATTTCAGAAAAGAATAGAGGTAAAATTGTTGCAAAATCTAGTCCAAAAAGTGCCCTTCTTGACAAAAGAAATGTAACAGAAGATTTATTAAATATTTTTTAGATCACCTCACTGAATCATAAATATTTCCGTCAACATTTAGAAGACTCCATGTCTCTAGGCCGTCCATTAGTAATAGAAGACGTTGGTGAAGAACTGGATCCAGCATTAGACAATGTCCTAGAGAAAAACTTTATAAAAGTTGGATCAACATTGAAAGTGAAAGTAGGAGATAAAGAATGTGACATAATGAAAGGATTTACTCTATATATAACAACCAAACTACCCAATCCCTCGTATACTCCAGAAATATCAGCTGGTACATCTATTATAGACTTTACTGTTACTATGAAAGGTTTAGAAGATCAGTTATTAGGGAGAGTAATCCTTACTGAAAAGGCTGTAAGTTAATTTTAAGAAACAACTTTTTTTTGTTTATAACATGGTATTTCATCTTCTAATCTCATCAAGCTTAAGGTAAAATTTCTTAGTTAAATATCTTGCTGCCTGTAAATTAAATATGTATTTTTATATGCCCACATTTTCATGTGGACATATATATTGTCGTTGCTCCTATCCATCTGGATGTCCACCCTACAGGTCACAATTTTTATCCGATTTTGGACGAAACTTGAAATATAGGTTTATCTCCCAACGATCTCAGTTCCTTGCAATATTGGCATGTTTCGGATCATAACTTCATTGATTATAGCCCCTGATATTGGCACATATCGGATGGCAACTTCCTGGATCATGGCCCCTGATTGTACGAAAAATCATGTTTTTAGCTTGTGTTCCCCCTAGAGGTCACAATTTTTATCTGATTTAAAAAAACGTTCAAATATATCACCGTTACACCATAATGATGAATGAGGTTGAATCTCGTGAAAATCTGACTGCAAATGCTCGACAAAATGATCACTTCCCATACGTAAATAGTGTAAAAGTATGGTATATCAAGGTAGCACCTTCTTGAGGTCACAATTTTGATCCGATTTTGGTGAAACTTTAAATTTATGTTTATATCACAGAGATCTTGGGTATTTTCGATATTTGCACATATCGGTCTGATTTTACGAAAAAAAGCAATTTTAGCTTGTGGACCCTCTAGATGTCACAATATTTATTCAGTTTTAAAAACCGTTTAAATATATCACCATTACACCTTAATGACGGATGAGTTCGAATTTCATGAAAATCTGCCCGACAAAATAGCCACTCCTTGTATGCAAATAGTGTAAAAGTATGTAATACCAAGGTTGTGGACTCTCTAGAAGCCACAATTTTGATCCGATTTTACTGAAACTTGCAATCTATGTTTATAACCCAAAGATCTCGGTTCCTGTCTATATTCAGACATATCGGACCGTATTACTTTCTTGATTATGGCTCCTGATTGTACGAAAAATCACATTAGTTTTTTAGTTTGTTCTCTGTCCATCTCTGGGCATATCTTGCATGGCAACCACTTTTTTTCCAGGAATTAGAGAGTGAAAGAGTAAATCTGATGGAAGAAGTTACATCCAATAAAAGAAAAATGAAAGAATTAGAGGATAATTTACTCTTCAGACTGACCAGTACACAGGTACATATACTGTAAAAATAGAGATAGTTTTAAAATGATGTATAACCATATAAGAGCATTTAAAAAAACAGATCATTTTTAGCTGAAAAATATAGTTGTTGAATTATCACATTTTTAACAGGAAGCATCATTTATAAAACAAACTGTTTTTGTTTTCAGGGGTCATTAGTAGATGATGAAGATCTCATCAATGTACTAAACACAACTAAAATTACAGCTGATGATGTCAGTCAGAAACTGAAGAATGCTGCTGAAACAGAAATAAAGATAAATGCAGCAAGAGAAGAATTCCGTCCTGTCGCTACCCGAGGCAGTATTCTTTATTTCTTGATAACAGAAATGAGTTTAGTGAATGTTATGTACCAGACATCACTCCGTCAGTTCCTGGGTCTCTTTGATAGATCTCTAGCCAGGTAGGATAAACATTTTTCTGGTATTATTCTGTAAAACTACAAATATTTTGCATTTTATACCAAGCACTAAATATAGGTTACAATAGGGGTCTACTCAATCCAGTTGGTGTCTCTTTATATAACCTCAGTGGTCTCTCACGAATTTAGCACCTGTCTGCCGAGTGCATTTACCAAAAAATATTGAGGGACCATTGAATTGTGTTCTATCTATATTTGGCAAAATAGGCTCATTTGTTATTGTTTTCGTTTACCAAAAAAATGTTGAGTGGGTTATCAATTTATTAGGGGAACCTTATCTTCTCATATCAAACAAAAAGGTATGTATTTTTAAGTCTAGCTGATGTTGGAGAGTATGTTATGGTTTAATCCTTCAGTTGGTGCCAAAACAATTCATTGTGTTAATGAAAGAATTTTTTTCATTGTAGTATCATATTTTGTGTATGACAAACACTTGAAATGGATTGTTTCAACCATTATTATCAAACATTTAGACAGAAAAAAACAACCAACCATGGCATGGCCTTCAGTGGTCCTAACTTGCGTAGTCCATTACCTTTTAGTACCATTGAGGTTTGGCTTCCCCTTTTCTCTGTTAGAAACGACTAGCATTCTTCCACAACACGGTTGACTAGGCAAATGACATTAGCACAGATCTTTCTACAGGCACCATGTTCACAAGGGAGATAATTCTAATAGGGTCAGGATTCAGACTAGTAATTTTTCATTGACATCAATGTTGATTCCATCATGGACCTTATAATACATAATGTATTATAAGGTCCATGATTCCATGCCATTCTTTGGCTTTGTTACGATCTTAATCTTTATAACCACAATGAGCCCAACATGTCACAATCATGTGATAAAAATATTGAAGAGCGTTGACCATCTTGGTTTTTTGCTATTCCTGATCAAAGGAACCCAGGCTGTAATGTCATTTTTGTACTTGATTTCAATAATGCATATCTTCCTAATCCTACTACCACAAGATCATGACTATTCATGTAAACCTGGCAGAATATTTAGATTTAAACACCCTTCTTTAATTCTAGATCAAAAAGTAAACGAAAATGATATGCAAAAGGGGTGAAAGGGAGAAAGAATCAACCTCTTTGAGATGTCTGTTTATGATGATATTTTGTTTGTGTGGTATCTGTATCTGGGGTGACTTGAAGTGGGTTGCCTGCCATACAATATTTTTTGAATTTGTATTTTTTCTTCCAGATCGATTAAATCACCCATCACTCAGAAACGTATACAGAATATCATAGAATTTATGACATATGAGGTATATAGATACGCTGTACGCGGTTTATACGAGAAGGATAAACTTACCTTCACCTTGCTGTTAGCCTTGAAGATTGATCTTCAAGCAGGAAAGATTAAACATGAAGAATTTATGACACTGATTAAAGGTAAATTAATAGTCAAACATTTTATTCCCCTTTACTATAACACACACAAAACCTTCTGTGTTGAGTATTAGTCAGCACTTTTTTCAACATAAGGCAGGATTTTGCTGATATCACCTGCTCAGCACAAGAACGGCAAAGATTTTGGTAATATCACCCTTTTGCTATCGTCTAACATTCTTACACTTTTCTAAATATATCAAGAAATAAATTTATTTTAAAAAAGAACCACATTCACTTATAATCTTACACAGAAGTTAATATGAATAAATTGTAAAATTTTCAGGTGGTGCATCTCTTGATTTAAATGTTGTGACACCCAAACCACACAGATGGATTGTTGATTTAACCTGGTTGAATTTGGTTGAGTTGAGTAATTTACATCAGTTCTCTGGTGTATTGGATCAGGTATGTGCCTGTTTTTTTTTTTAGCTTATTCATTGATGAGAAGAGCCCACCTCGCTCTAGCTGCCATACAGTCACAAGATTTAGATTATGAATGTATAGAAAATAACAACAGAAATTGCTAGATATGTCCAATGAATGAGAAGTAGTATTAAATATTCTGGTAAGAGTAAACAACAAACCTGTCAGTGCTTGTCAGTAGCCTATAGCTAATTAAATTCTCAGGAAAGGAGTCAAAGAACTACCTTATTATCTGGATTGATTTCTTATTGTGTGTATTTTAATTTTGATTTTAGGTATCTAGAAATGAAAAGAACTGGAAGACATGGTTTGATAAAGATTGTCCTGAAGAAGAGATTATACCAGATGGATACAATGATTCGTTGGATGTCTTCCGACGTCTGCTACTGGTCCGTTCCTGGTGTCCCGACAGGACTTTACCACAAGCTAAAAAATATATTGCGGATACACTGGGTGACAAATATGCAGAAGGTGTTATATTAGACATGGAGAAGATGTGGCAGGAGAGTGATAATCGTAATCCATTAATCTGTCTTCTATCTATGGGATCAGATCCAACCAACAGTATTGAAGGTTTAGCAAAGAAACACAGAATAGGTAAAACACCAGGGAGCTTCTCCTCTTATATTTAACAACAATCCACATCTTTTGGCTTAAAAATTATCAACTGACTAGAAAAAAGACATTTTATAAATCATATTATGTGTTTATTTTATAGAATGTAAAGCCATATCTATGGGTCAAGGTCAAGAAGTTCATGCCAGACGACTCACAGCTTATGGCATCCAGAATGGTGGTTGGTTATTGCTACAGAATTGCCATCTTAGTTTAGACTTTGTTGTTGAAGTGATGGACACCATTCTTGAAACAGAAAATATAAATGATGAATTCCGTCTGTGGGTTACAACAGAAGAACATATAAAGTTCCCCATTAGTTTTCTACAGGTAAAGTATATCTTATCTAAAATAATATGGATTAAAACCTTAGTTTTCCAAAGAGTTATTCAATTCAGATTTTCTGTTGGTTTAAGCCATGGCTAATATTTTATTTCACAGAGCTGCTCAGTTCAAATGGCTCCAATGAATGTAATTAACAAATAGAGGTGTGGTTTAGAGAAAAAAAAAGTTGTTTTTTACCTTACAGATGGCAATAAAATTCACCAATGAACCACCACAAGGTATCAAAGCTGGTCTTAAACGAACCTATGCTAATGTTACACAAGATTTCTTAGATATATCTAATATGCCTCAGTGGAGACCAATGTTATACGCTGTAGGGTTCCTTCATACTATTGTACAAGAAAGAAGAAAATTTGGTCCATTAGGTTGGAATATACCTTACGAGTTTAATACAGCTGATTATAATGCTAGTGTACAGTTTGTACAGAATCATCTTGATGATATGGATATAAAGAGGGTAAGATGAACTTGTTTAGCACTTGATAGGATTATGAAATTTAAATTATTTAAAAATCCATTCTTGTTGTCAGAACTTCAATATGGTGGTTAGAGGTTATTCTTATTCTACAATCCTGTAGACTTTTCTGTATAAAATTATTTTTAAAAAATGGTACAAAAATGGTTACCAGCTTGTTACTGAAAAACAGAAATGAGTAAAATGCATATGTTATGTTGATATGCTGTTTGCTACTCCTTCTTGTTCAGTATATCAATACATGTTTTAGTACCTTGAAAGATTATCAATTCTTATTTCAGGGTGTTAACTGGACTTGTGTACGGTATATGTTGGGGGAAATTCAATATGGTGGTCGTGTCACTGACGATTTTGATAAACGACTGCTCAATACATTTTGTTCTGAATGGTTTGAGGAAAAAATGTTTGGAAATTTCCTCTTTAGTAAAGGCTACTCAATACCTAAATGTAATAAAATAAATGAATACCATGATTATATTAATGAACTACCAGCTAGTGATTCACCTGAAGTGTTTGGTCTACACGCAAACGCTGATATCACGTAAGTACAAAAGGTTTTATAAAGTAATGAATTTAATATTTATATTTATCATGGTTATAACGTAAGATATATTTCAATGAATAAAACTGGTTGATTCAGGGTAAAATATTCTTACAAACCTTTCAAAATATTTTTGTGTTGTGCTTGTAATAACTAGTCATAAACAATTGTTGTTTTCATTTAGTTATACAGTTTAAAATGACCGTTTGTGATCAAAACTATGATTAGTTCTTTTGTGTATGCTTCAGCTATCAGAGTAAAACAGCTAAAGATAGTTTAGATACTATTTTAAGTATACAACCTAAAGACAGCAGCAGTGGTGGCGGTGAAACTAGGGAGAGTATAGTTAATAGACTGGCAGATGACATGTTGGATAAATTACCACCAGATTATGTACCTTTCGAAGTTACCAGTGCTCTTAAAAAAATGGGAGAATATCAACCTATTAACATTTTCTTGAGACAAGAGATTGACAGAATGCAGAGAGTTATATCAACAGTACGCAGCACATTACAAGATCTGAAGTTAGCCATAGAGGGTACAATTATTATGAGTGAAAATCTACGAGATGCATTAGATTCTATGTATGATGCTCGTATACCCAAATTGTGGAGCAAGGTAATAATCTTTTTGTATCTATCCTTCAATATTTGTAACAAAATGACATTTCATCACATAAAATTGTCTATTTCAATTCAATCTTACTGCAGTTATTTTTTGTCCAACGACTTTCATAGAAAGCGTGGAACTATTAAAATGGGTCTGTCTGGTTAAGTAGGTTAGGTTTCGCAGATTGATAAACAATTTGATTGCTAGATGCTTCTTAAAAAGACATTTGTGCAAGTAATGAATTAGTGTCATTCATTTATTTTGGGACTGATAAACCTAAGTTTTTACAAATTTGAAGGAATCTTCATGATTGCGTCTTTGCTTTTCACATACATGTAGCCATTCAAATGTTAAAATGGAAGGAAGACACCCTTTAATTATCTAATTAAGCTAGAACGTTCAAAGATGAGCATCTTCTGCTTAGAGTAAGCAGAGATAAGCAATTTGATTGGTTGATGCTTTGGGACACGATAACTTTAGGTCTAATTAAGTGTGAGTGTGATGGAATTTGGTGTATAGTTTTATTACATCAATACCTTGACTAAGTTTGATAATGAACATTTTCTGCTCAGAGTAAGCAGAGCGATAAGCAATTTAATTGGTTGAGACTTTGGAACACAATTACTCTCCTTTTAATTGGTGTAGGCGTTCATTAGGTGAATGCCTTGATGGAGTTCGATGATAAACATTGTCTGCTTACGATAAGCAGAGATAAGCAATCTGATTGGTTGATGCTTTGGGACACGATAACTTTGGTTTTAATTAAGTGAGAGTGATGAAACTCAGAGTATAGAGTCATTATATTATTACCTTGACTAAGTTCGATAAGAATATTCTGCTCAGGGGTAAAACAGAGTGATAAGCAATTTGATTGGTCGAGACTTTGGAACATAATAACTCTGCTTTTAATTGATGTAGGTGTTCATTAGGTGAATGTCTTCTGACTAAGTGCAATGATTAACATTTAAAGCTAAAGCTAAGCAGAGCTAAGAAATTTCATTGGTCGATGCTTTGGGACAAGATACCTTTGATTCTATCTGATAGAGAGTGATGAAACTTAGTGTATAGTTGATAATCAGTTTGATTGCTTGATACTTTTGAAAAAAATAAATGTGCTATTAATTAATATGTTGTATCTATCTATTGTGGGATTTTGGTGAGGGACATCAGCCTCACTGTTGGCTTGGTTTTAACTATTATAGTGAGAACTGCCAGCTCTTTATCAAATCTCCCATAATGTATCTAAAAATAATGGAGATTAGTATTGAACAAATCTTTTTTCAGGTATCTTGGGATTCAAGTACCCTTGGTTTCTGGTTTACTGAATTGATTGATCGTAATGCACAGTTCCACACATGGTGTTTTGAGGGTCGACCTCTTTCTTTCTGGATGACAGGCTTCTTTAATCCTCAAGGTTTTCTTACTGCCATGAGACAGGTATATTGTTTGTCAATTTCTTCCACTGGATTGTTTTTAAATACTGGTTATAAAAACTGATGTAATTAATTTTGAACAATATCATATTTGAAATAATCTTAGGCTCCCCTAATTATCAAAAGACTGTGCACTAACCTTTATGTTATTATGCACAAGTGCTTGTTAAAATCCTTGAGATCAATCAATCAAAAAAAAAAATTCTTTCCTGCATACATAAACTGAAAGAGTCTGTATATCACTTAACAAGGCAATCTTTCTTTTGTTCTTCAGGAGGTAACACGAGCACACAAGGGTTGGGCTTTAGATAGCGTTGTTCTCAGTAATGATGTCACCAAATATCAATCAAAAGAAGATCTTATCCAACCACCCACAGAAGGTGTCTATGTTTATGGACTCTTCCTGGAAGGAGCAGGATGGGATAAAAGAAACAACAAATTATATGAACCACGACCTAAACAATTATTTGATATTATGCCCATTGTTCACATTACAGCTGTGAACAGTTCGGGTGGTACAACCTATGATGTTAAAACTCATTATGTCTGCCCAATATACAAGAAACCAAGACGTACAGATCTGACATACATAGCCAATGTCACATTAAAATGTGCGCAATCTGCAAACTCCTCACCCGCTCATTGGATCTTGCGAGGTGTAGCTTTACTTTGTGATATCAAATAGATCTGTAGTATTATTATGTTATTTTTTTTTTAATTGTGTTTGTTAAGTAGTAATGTATGTGATAAGTACAGATAATATATAATAAATATAAAATGTACAGTATTATTAACAGTCTGTGATTATTTTTCTAGTTTTTTTTTTTATTGGTTGTTTCTTTTTCTTGTTACCATCCTCCCAATATTTATATCCCATTTATTGTGATCATAATTTTTGTTTATTTTGATCCTTGTTCAATTTTTCAAGGTGGTTATTATTTATTTGGCCTTTTGTTTACATCAGCATTAATGTGATTGAATTATTAAATACCAGCATTAAGTTTTGCAGATGACTTAAATATATCCTCTTGCATAACATAATTATATACTTATAGTAAAATACCAGTAAAGCAAATTTTATTATTTCATTTTAAAGAAGCTATTTTTGCAATTATTGACATATAATTCTATTTTGTATATGAAAATCGGTAACTTAAAAAACTTTTTATAATTTATTCTTTATAGTCATATCTATTATTACATTATTCTTATAGAATAAACTAGTCTAAATAATTTAAATCAGTGTTTTCTTGAAAAAATAGTGAAAATTAGCCAGTTCTTATTGTTGATTGTCAAGTACCATTGCCATGATAATAAATAGTCTTGGTTGTCTATCTTTTATCAACAGTCTCTGGATATATTAGCCGATATGGTGGGCATGGTCAAATCCACTCAATATCTAAGCCATCTCTTGATCTAGAGAGTGGATTATTAGCTTGTATAACATCTGGAGCTTGAAAAATGTACAATCCCTGTGAATTTGAAAATAAACTGAAAAAAAAACAACAAAAGAACCTGTCGTGTTAGAGTGTTGTCACAAGCTAGACCGACCTGGGACACAGGTAACAACATAAGTCGGCATTAACTGTGGGCATATAAAAATGGGGTAAACAAACACTGGGTTGCAAATTATAGAGCCCTGCCAGTTGGAATTTGGAAGAGTGGGGAAAAAAATCTCTTTCCTTGCATTTTAAATAGTTAATAACTAATACATGTATATTAAATGACCATGTAATGTGTTTACAAGATATTCAACTCAACTCCAGCCGAAGTCTCATGGTGCATTTGTTATTGTTTGGGAATCGACTTAACATGAATTGAAATCTTGGATGAAATAGACTTTCAGCTCCGAATGAGGGAGGATAGTAATAACACAGCATGTTATTGGTCTGTTCTGTGAATAATCATTACGACTCGTAAACATTAACCTCAGGAGCCTAAAGGGTACATACACAAATAAGACTTATTTAGTCTGCTATCAGCAATCTGGTCAGTTTATGGACCAAGGTCTCTGCTTTGAATATCTTTTTCTTCTACGAATACTCACACATATCCTATCCATACTCTTTATCGCCAGATGTTTTAAAGGTGTTAAATCACTGCAGCTAATGAATGTTGCATCAACAGTGTTAACTAATATTTAGTTTTATAATGGTCCCACACTATAGAGCATATGGTAACTAGACCCAAACATAACATTTATGATAATATAAAACTTGAAAATATAGCTATACTAGAAAGTGATTTGCTTTATTTACAATGAAATGATGATTTATATAATACAAAAATATGGAACACTGTAACATTTATATAATACAATATCGTATACTGTAACATCTAACATCTGAGACTGTGATCAAGATTAGATCTCCGAGATACAGTTGGTGAAAAAGAAAAATATAAATAATCCTTTAAACATAATCCACAGGTAGTAATCTCCAACCAACAAACTTGACAAGGCTATTATAAATGAAATGGGGTTAAAGTCCTAGTGCCAACCAGGCTAATGAAGACAGGAATATGCCATGCAATGTGCTAATAGGGCAATTTTATCCGGACAGTATTGTTCTTGCCTACTGTCAAGGGTTCTTTTACATGCTCGCCAACATGGACACAGGACCTTGGTTTTCGTCCAATCTGAATGGCTAGACAACGATCCTTGCCAGACTCTCTGTCCTGCACCTGTTGACAAGGGGGGTGGGGGGGAACAAAGCTAAAAAAATCCTTAGAAACTTTCTCGGCCAAGACAGGGGTCGAACCCAGGAACTTCTGGTAAGTGAGCCAGCATCTTACTCAGTTAGCCGCCATGGCTCCGTTGGGGATTACTACTTCTGGATGAATACTGCAAAACATGACAATGCTTGAATTTTTTATATTGTTACAAATCATACCTCTTTCGTTACTGATCACCATTTCTTTAAATATATAAAATAGGACCAAGTTTGTTCATTTAGGTTATCAGCTTGCTCATTTCTATTCTAAGCTATTCTAATATCAGAATGGGGCAGGACCACTGTTCTTAATTGGACATTGGTTTAATCTAGCCGATTGGTAAAACAATGAACCGGCCACTATGATATCATAAATCAATCTACTTTCAGGTAAATTACAACGGGTTAATTATAACTTGTTGATTGAAAAGTCAATCAACTTGCTTGTTGGCTACAACAGTCATTCCTTAGTGAGAATCGGCCATGTGGTTCATAATCCGAGCAATTAGCGCATTTAGCACATTTAACTGTAATTTTGATAATCCGGTAAAAAAACAAAACAGGCTTGCTGATTATTCCTAAAAGGTTCAGTAAGCTGCCTTAGTGAAAATAAGTCACATGGCGAAAGGAGATGATCTCGGGATGGTTTGTGAATTGCGCTCTTACTCCGTATAAATTCCAGGTACCATACAAGGTACCGGTAGAAAACCCAGTGATCAGGCCTAATTCTTTTAGATATTAATTAATATGAGTGGAATGATAAGTTATAATTCACAAGACCACACTGAATGTAACAATAAAATCTTGCTTTTACATTCTTCTACTATGGAAAGCATGAACAAAATCGGTCTTCATATAAAACTATTAGTTATTAATCTTCAAATAAAAATTAATTTGCTTTTGTTGAATTACAGGAATCAAGATAGCCATGCAAAGTGAGGTAATATGCCTACACACACAGCAGCAATGTCTCGACAGCAGTTTGTACGAAATGAAAACTTTTTGACAAAATTTGATATTTCGGGAAAGGGTGATAACTCTGGAACCAAAAGTTGCATTTACAAGGTTTTCTTCAAAGCGGGAATATTTCTGGTATGGAAGGTAGAGGAACATTGAATATCGATTGGGTTTGTCCTCCCATGACCCCAATGCTTTCTACCTAATTTGAAAAACATCTGTTAAAAACTACAACCTCTGTTGCATTTAAAAGGTTTTCAGAAAAGGGGGAATGACTCTGGACCAGAAAGACACAGAACGCTGAAAATCACTAGGATTAATTCTCTTATGACCACAATACTTCACGCCAAAGTTGAAAAGAATCTGTTAAAGATAGGTTGCCAGGCAAAGAAACATACACCAACAGCAGCTAAATCGTCCGGGCAGTCAACAAGAGTAGTCGCATGTTTTTACTGTTGTCAGTAATGAAACATTTATAATAAACTAAAGTCTGATTAAGAGTAACAACTTATTAAGTAATTATCAGAAAATCATTTGTTTAGCCAATGCTAATGTTTAGTATATAAAACATTTAATATCAGGGATCTAGCTGTTCAAGTTATCAAAAATCATTGAAAATCAATATTCTTGTTCGTCTCAAGACCTTAAACTCTGTGTATCAATCTAAAGTCAACGGTTAATTATAGGCGTAAACACGGTGTATTAATATGAAATCAATCAGATGATAACTATGGTCTGTAAAGTATCCACAAGATTTTTCAAAGTGATCAAGGGCTTCTTCGTCTGATGACCTTAAATACTGTGTATATAAATTTGAAGTCCATCTGATATTAATTTTAGCCGCTAGAGTAAACACAAGATTTTTCAAAGAGATCAACTGGCAGTAATAATCAGAAATCATTGAAAATCAATAGGCTTCCTTGTCTGATGACCTTAACCAATTTAACCCTGGAGCCAATTAAAAGATTTGCTACCCTACCCCTAAGCTCATTAAATCAGCAGGGTCCATCTCCCTAAGCCAATTAGTGGATTATTGTTAATCCTAATACCCTCTAGAAAATTGCAAATAACTAAAAATACTATGTTACAAAAATGTACAGATTGTGGTGTTCTTTCCAATGATATAGAATTCAATTGTACAAAGTAGAATTTAAATAGAACACAAATATAGTTCCTTCACGTGTTCAAAGTAATTATAAATATAACTTTTAAAATGAAATATCCTCCCAAATGAACATCACTTCATCACTATCGGCATTTGACATTTCTGACTTTCAGATATATGGCGAAATTGTCGTCTTCTTTGCTTCATTGCATCGAAAATAAAAATATATAGTTGAATTCTTCGACAATGTAATATTCCTCTATGAAGCTTGTACTTAATCCTAAAAGATTTGATTCAATTTAGCTTTCCAAAGTCTAGAATTATCATCAATAAGTTTTGTGGTATCGTCTGTCTCGGCTAGAGTATATGTATTCCTCGTATTATAAGTAAAAAAAAAAAAAAAAAAAAATATATAAATAGTTGATTTCTTCCACACATTATCATATTCCACGATATGCCTGGCAGTAAATCATAAAAAATCTGATTCCATTTCACTTTCAATATCATAAAATTATTAGCCCTAGTTGATTTCTTCGACATTATCCTATTCCACGATATGCCTGGCAGTAAATCAAAAAATTTTAATTCCATTTCACTCTCCATATCATAAAATTATTAGTCATAAGTGACAAGTGAAAATATTGGAATAAGGCCAAAGTCATTGACACAGTGTGAATTTTCACCTTTGACCTATTACGTAAATACCGGAAGATCCTTTGTTGAACTGCATGTTTTTTATTCGATAATTAGCGAATATAACATTCCTTTTCATTGGATGTTTTATTTCTTTTACACAATCACCATTAATTTATGAAATAAAAACAATAGAAATCAGTTGATTGATCTGGCGCTTTTGTTCGCTAATGCCGTTGCCAGGTATGATGGGTCCGCGAGTTGATTCACTACCGCCAAATGACAGGTGTGAACTGATTCGCACTCGTCAAAAATGGGTTAAACACTGAGAATAAATTCAAAGTCATCCGGATATTAACATTAGCCTTTAAAGTGTCAACAAGGGCCATAAGTCTGGCAGTAATTATTGGAAATCGGTGAAAATCAATTAGGAATCTTCGTCCGATGACCTTAAAGAGTCAATCGGATAGTAACTTTAGCCTCTAAAGTGTCCACAATATTTTTCAAAGGGGTCAAGGGCCATGACTCTGGCAGTAATTATCGGAAATCGTTGAAAATCAATAGGGTTCTTCAAAGTCTTATGACCTTAATCACTGTGTATAAATTTAAAGTAAATTGGATATTAACTTTAGCCTCTAGAGCGTGCACAAGATTTTTCAAAGTGATCAAGGGCCATAAATCTGGCAGTAATTATCGGAAATTGCTTGTGGACGCCAGGCCTTTGGACGGAGGCAACGACAATATTATACCCCATTTCAATGTGGGCGTATAAAAACTGTATACTCTATTGTGTTCACAAGCCAAATGTTGACAGAAAGAATGACCGACTGACGACATTACACACATTGGTGTATAAACATCACTAAGAAATTTCACACATTTTTTATAGATTTAACTTTCTTGTATCATGAGCACAGACAAAAATTCTCTTGATTCAATATTTTTACGTACAGGCTCTCAAAGTTTCGCATAGAGTGAACATTATCATTATTATCTTCTGGTGATGATGTGCTAGAGAAAATTGTTGTCATTTTTCCATCAAAAATTGACGATAAAGTCTTGCATGATCAGGATTATCAAATCTGGGTACAAAGTTCACACGGAGAATTTCACTGAATCCTTCACTGGCCTCTGGAGGGATTAACTTGGATCTAAAATAAACAACAAATAAAGAAATAACTCAGTGAAACTTATTTTCAATAAATTATACCCATACTTGTATTATGTACTGTTTGTTCATGCAATGTTGAGTAGTTTTCCTCACTCTCTATTTGATATCCATGTTTTATGATCTCAAATTAAAATAATTATGTGCAGCAAAAAGAAGAAAACTTACTTAAATGAGTTCATAATCATGTCATTTATTGCTTTATGTGATTTATCTGTTATTTCTCGGAACTGAAATTAAAAATAACAAATGCAGAAAGAAAGTTATCATGCAATGAATTATGTTGCAACCATGGCTCAGCCATGCACGAACTGGAAATTCTCTAAAAGCAATGAAGAACATATGTAAGTCTTGTTTGAGATTACTTAAATTTGACACACTTCATCATCTAAATTGAGTCAAAGCTGTATGTATTGTGTTCAGATTACTCAAATTTGACAGCACTCCATCGTCTCAAAGGTGTATGTATTGTTTTGAGATAACTCAAATTTGACAGCACTCCTTCGTCTTATTATGAGAAAAGATATCTTACGAAAAGAAATAGTAGAAGGATTGTCAACACAACAAGCCCTTATTCAAACTTGTGCATATCAATATCATTTAGCATTTTTCTTTTGTCTTTCAAGTTAGAATTGGTGATTAAATACAAATATCAATCTTACCCTTTCGTTGTGTTTCGCTTGTTCAATAGATACATTAAATATAAAACATCGTGCTGGTACTCCAGCTTTCTTAGCACAACTTACATACCTACAAATATAACACAAAAGTTCATGATAAAACTCACTGTGGTCTAATTGGATCTGATTGACAGGATGAGGGGTTCAATTGCGATCAAGAAAGGAATATCGGATTAAATGCAAGCCCAGTAAAAGATTTTAGTGAAGATTATATATGGTGCTTACTTGTTTTGACCATATCATATTTTTTTTTAAATGATCAGATCTTTGTAAATACTGAATGTAATGAACCATATTTTGACTGATATTCCTGAGATTCAACTTGTACAATATTGGAGTTTACAAGTGATTCAAAATCCATTAAAAATGATTTCAGTCCAGTTTCACACGTGAAAACAAGTGGTTGCCTTGCAAGACATGCCCAGAGAACAAGCTAAAAAAAAAGAGATTTTTCGTACAATCTGGAGCCATAATCCAGGATGTTATGGTCCGAAATGCATCAATATTGAAAGGAACTGAGATCTTTTGGATATACTCATACATTTTAAGTCTCATAAAAAAAATGGATAAAAATTGTGACAAGAAGCTTCGGACCAATTTTCAGGAAATGAAATTATGGTGTAACGGTGATATACATGAAGGGTTTATAAAATCCAATAAGAATTGTGACCTCTAGGTGGTTCATGAGCTAAAAACGTGAAAATTCATACAATTAGGGTCCATAATCCAGGAATTTATGGTCTGATATGTGATAATATCAAAAGGAACCAAGATCTTTGGGATATAATCATTTCTCACTTAAATAAAAAGTTATCGTGTCTCAAAGCATTAACTAATCAAATTGCTTATTAAATCTCTGCTTAAATTAAACAGAGTATACTCATCTCTGCTTAAACTACCGGGTAAACAGAGTATGCACATCTTCGAACTCCATAAAGCATTCATCCAATAAACACCTACACCAAGTTTAAAGATTCTAGCACATTTAGAAGGAGACAGACCCATTTTAAATGTGACCTGTTTACAAGTTAAAAACATAATTTTTCATATAATCAGGGTCCATAATCCTTGAAGTTAAGGTCCAATACATGCCAATATCGCATGGATCCTAAACCTAAAAACGTGCCAATTTCAATAGGAACCGAGGTCCAGGTGTCTGAACTGACAGGGGCGATGGCATGATGTCTCCACATAAAAATTTGGGCTATAAAGTGACTATGGTTTGCAATGAAACATAAATTACCTTTCTCTTGCAATTTTATCTGGATTTGTATTATCAACAACAACACTTTTACCACTTTCTAAAGACTTAGTACATAAACTCACACATTTCTGCCACGTTCCTAATGTATCCTACAAACACGATAAAGTATAATTATATATTTATAGTTGTATATACGTAAGACACAAATAAATCTCATCATGCACAACAGATTCAAAGAATATATTTCTAACACTGGTTCATATATTCTAATTTAAGCTTGAAAAATGAAATAAAATGAAATGAAATTTGACGTCACCTTTCTGTACGAACCCGACTAATGAAGACGGGCATATGCTATACAGTGTGCTATGAGGAAAATTTTACCTCGACAGTAGCAGTTTCGGCTTACTATTTGTTGAATTCCAATTTTATTGTCACAGGTTCTTTTAAATGCATGTCAATGTCTACACAGGACCTCTGTGTTTCATCCAATCCAAACAATAAGACACGGTTCCTTGCCAGGCAAGCCTGGAAATATCTTTCAAATGTGTGTCTGACACCATGTCAGACTGGATGAACATTCTGCCTGACATTCTAAATTTTCGACCGGACATAATATTCAGACATTTGGGTTGGCACAAAGTCTATCAAGATCTATTCTGTTGACTAATATCTTTTGTGATTCAATATCAACCAGGGCAGTTTTGCTTAGTTTTCGTTTGTTCGACGAAATTGGTTTGGATTTGTCATACATATAAAAATGTTACCCATTAAAATGCCTCAAATGTTGTGATACTTGGGGTAGATACATGTCTTAATATGTCGGTCGGGAAAGGCAGGGTGCTATTTTATCTCAGGAATCAAACACGAACACGATGTTTATGAATGAATAATACACCACCCATTGAGAACTTAACTATTTGTTGTATGATTAAATAAAGTATGATCAAGACTATTGTTTATTAACTGTTCGTTACAATATAAATCCCTAATTTCATTTTCCACTATCATCCGATGATATAGCTTCCCGCCTTGACAATGTTGGGCTAATCACGCGACAATTTCCCGCCTTTTCTATATATAGGGTTGAAAATAAGCTGTATTGTTGTAACATTAATTGATAAAGTATTAATTAGATTATCAGTTAATAAATGTTGAAAACAATACAAATCTTGACCAATCTCCCATTTTTTTAAAATTTTTTTTACCTCGCAAATCTTAAAATATAAATCCTGTTTATAAACTGTAGTGGCTACGCAATCTATGTACATGTTTCCGTGAAAACCTGCAGAGATTACTACGCCTCAAATACTATATACGTCGGAATGATAATATAATATAGATATGGAACGTCTGGGGTATGGATAATTATTTTACAGTAGTTTGTAAATATGCAGGAATAGGTTTCATCAAAATTTGTAATAAAAGGTTCTATGCTGAAATATTAATGTCCAACTATTATATTAAACTTACTCTATTAACATGTACATAACCTTTAGGTATCAAATATGTTTTTGCAAAAAATGACTTCCCGGCTGTAAAAAAAAAAAAAATTATAAGGAAAGTAAACACTAATTTTAAGATTTTTGAAATAACAATATACAAGTCCAAAAGTTTTTTTTGCAAATTGAAAGTTTGTTTTTGTAAAATAGGGAACTAACAAAGAAAAACAAATAAATGACACAAATAGTTTATCCTACACATTGACTATAGACCAGACAAGAGGAACATATTGTTAGTATGACACAATAAATTATTCTAGCAGGTTCTCATTTAAGACGTTCCCACAAGTAGAGAACTCGGGCTTTAAACTTTTAACATTCACTAAACACGCAATAAGGTCATTTTAGGAACAATATATTTTAATAATTTGCATGAACTATGGTCTTTCGCAATGGGAGGAAACCAGAGAACATCATACCCCTACTAGTTAAGTGTGGAATCAAAACCACAATCTTTATGATTTAAAGTGCAGTTGATCACTCAACACCCCACAAAACATAGGGCTTATTGTTTAAAAAAAATTCTAAAGCCCTACTTACATGCAGGATAGCCAGTCAATACAACCACCTGAAATAATCATCATAATGAAATATAACTAGCGTTTGCCAGACAAGATACACCCTCATTTTGCAAGAGCTGGATAGAGAACAAGCTAAGAAAAAAACCCCTGATTTTTCGTACAATCAGCAGCCATAATCCAGGAAGTTATGGTCTGAAATGCACGAATATCTTTGGTCAAGGTAGACTTTTTATTTACTGGATCAGGAAGGGGCACCCCTGCTAAGATGTCCATAACCACGGCCATAAGTGGCCATGGACAAAGTGAAGAGTTTGAGGGCAGGGCGGCCAATTGAAAGGGCACCCCTGGTAATGGCCGCGGTGGCCACCGTTAATTTCGAGGCCTGAGTTTGTGGTTCATGTCACAGACCCATTATTTAAAATAGCATTTCACTGATTTTTAGTTTCCAGCATGCCTGTTTTGAGGGCACGGCGATCAATTAAAGGGCTCCCCTGGCAATGGTCGCTGTTAATTTCGAGGCCTAAGTTTGCGGTTCATGTCACAGACCAATTATTTAAAATAGCATTTCACTAATTTTTAGTTTCCCCGGATCCATTCACTTTTTTTTTAATTGTCTGTCTGTTTGTGTTTTCCAGAGTATGATGTCTTGTCCGTGTATTTGTTATTGTCCCCCTGCACTTACTATTAGTTGATGTGAATTGAATTGAGATATTTGGATAAATCGAATGTAACATTCAGTTTAAATGTAGCATCAATACAAACAATCTTTAATAAGATATAAATTCCTACCTCTTGTTTTTTAGATGTAATTTGTCCGCCAGGTGGAGCTGTTAAGGGATCTTCTTCTGATAAATTTCTCTGAAATGAAAGTGATTTTTCATACAATCAAGAGCCATAATTCAGGAAGTTACGATCCGATGTGCACAAATATCAAAAGGAACCAAGGTCTTTGGGTTATAAAGACATATTTCTAGTTTCATCAAAATCGGATCAAGATTGTGACTTCTAGAGGGTCTACAACCTTGTTATACCATATATTTACACTATTTGCAAACGAGGGGCGGCCATTCTGTCTGGCAGTTTTGGTCCAGTTTTCACGAAATTCAAACTCAGCCATTATTAGGTGTAACGGTGATATATTTAAATGTTTTTTTGGTTTTTTTCAATCAGATAAAAATTGTGACCTCTAAAGGGACCACAAGCTAAAAATGTGACTTTTCATACAATCAGGGGCCATAATTCAGAAAGTTACGATCCGATATGCGCAAATATCGAATGGAACCAAGATCTTTGGGTTATAAACATGCATTTTAAGTTTCATCAAAATCAGATTAAAATTGTGACCTCCAGAGTGTCCACCCACAGGCTAAAAACATGATTTTTCGTACAACCAGGGGCCATTATCCATGAAGTTTTGAACTGATAAATACCAATATCGAAAGGAACCGAGATCTTTTGGAGATAAACCTATATTTGAAGTTTCGTCAAAATCGGATAAGAATTGTGACCTGTAGAGTGTCCACAAATTGTGGAGAAACGTCCAGACGTCCATGTGGAAGTACAAAAACACAAATTAGAATTCAATAGTGGTCCATTTCAATCAATATTGATGTATTTGTTAACTTTTCGTAAAAATATCCCAATATCCAATATTTAAGACACAATGAACATTTTCAAACCAGTACACAAAGTCATGTAATCTATGTACATAATGGTTTAGGAGCAAAGAAAAACATATCCCAGTAAACAATGTGGAAGTAATTAAAAATGGTTGATTCACAAACGACAAAATAATATTTAATGGACTAAGCCGCTGAAAATGACTGTCGTTCGCATATTTCACTAAATATAACAGATTAAAAATTACAACATACACTGATGTTACATTAAAATGTGCTTTTAGACCCATATTCGTTTATTTTAAGGTTCCCAAGAATAGAGCTATGCACCGTTTAATTTACTATTAATGGGCCTGAAGATAAAAATTACATGAAGGTAGCAATGTTTAAAAGACACATGTTAAATCAACTTTTAAATTTTACTCAAAAAGCATACTGCTATCATCAGTATGTAAGATGCCACTGGTATAAGCAACCCCCCCCCCCCCCCCTGACTATTATCAAAAAGCTAATAATAAAGAAATAAATTAACTCTAAAAGAAATGTAAAATTTAAATCTAAAATTTAACTTACTGGATCAAAATCTGGAAGAGAAAATCTTGCTACATGCTTTTTCAAAAAAAATTCTTCTGGAGTATGGAACACAACACCAATATTTATAGCAAACTGAAATACATTTATTTAGTAAGTAAATTTTACTGATTAATAGGAAACTTTGGCTGATCTTATTTGAAGATATATCAGCCAAAATATGTTTTAAAAAAAATACCCACATAATAAGAAATAGTGCTAAAATAATTATATTTGAAAGGCAATAACTAGAAATTTTGCTGATCCTATTGAACAAAAATAAATTCACAGCAATTACACAATGGATATACAATTCAGCGTAAACAAAGTTTTGATTGTGTATAGACAAAAGATTTGGGAGAATTTTACATATCTTACCAAACGATCACTACAAGAAAAGTCTTTTCTTTTACCAGGATTCCATTTATCAGGTCTACCCGCTGCATCTAAATATCAATATTTATTATTACAGTCATGCTGAAGAAATTATATTTAACACTTATATAAAATATTATAAATCATTGCCTAAACAGAGTATTTTGTTTTAAAAATTAGAATAATTTATATAAAAAATACCTACCACCAACATAAAAACTGTCTCTACTTTCAATCTTCACACCATCATTACCCTAAAACATAAATAATTAATCACAAGAGCATCACTACTGCTGCATTATACGTCCACATTCCTGCCTTGATTGATATGGTACATTTTAAAATGAAAAGAATAAAATATGAAATTGCTGCACTGACTGCAAGAAGATAAGGGTCAAAAAAGGCTAGGTGTTGGGTTTGTTTTGCCAAATTTACAGACTAAATATTAACAAAAAAATGGTGGTGGCTCTGCCCCTGGGGGTTGGACATGGACCAATATAAATAGGTGTACAACCCTATGATGGCATAAATTGAACAATTAATCTGTTAATAATTGCAACCTGTAGGGTATGTACAGACAAAATATTAACAAAAAAGTGGGTGTGGTACTGCCCAAGGGGGTCAGATCATGCACATTATGAATGTGGATGCATAAAAAATTACAGTTTGGCCCTTGTTTCTACTTAATACATCAAACAGTTACATTGTAAATGTATGCTGTGTTTGTTCAGTCTTTTACCTGCAAATGACTGATTCATTTTATGCCACATTTTGTTATTTCATAGGAAATGAAATGAAATGAAAAAGGGTTTTAGACCCTACTCTTCTGCTCCGAACTGGGCTAATGAAGACGGGCATACGCCATACAGTGTGCTATGGGGGAAATTTTGCCCAGACAGCAGCACTACGGCCTACTCTTATATCGAATTCCAACTGTCAAGGGATCTTTTACGTGCACGCCAATGTGTACACGGGACCTCGGTTTTTCGTCCCATAGACAGCTGTCCTTGTCAGCCCCCACCCCACCATCCTGCATCACTGTTATTTCATAGGACTTTTATCTATTGATGCTCATAAATTACATTGATGTATTTTATTCCCCCACTGACCACTGTAACATTAAATAAGTACAGGCTTTTGTAAGAAGCATTATCAAAAGTTATTGAGTTTCAGTGACTATATGTGTATCTCTATATATAAAGTTATTTACGAGAGTTTCAGAGGTTGTATATAACATTATTTACCTGAGTTTTTAAATAATCCCACATTCCAGTACAAGGTTTTCTATACATACCAGTACCAGTTGCTACCAAAACCTGGAAGAAAATCAATATAGTTAAAGTAAAATGGTAATCTCATTATTAGCCATCCATACATGCACATTGACTCCAACTCTATTACCGGTTCAACATGTGGATTTCTTAAATACTGTTGTCTTTACCAAGAATAAAAGTTGAAATAAAGAAAAACAGTGTTGTCAGGAACGAATATAAACCCTCCAGCAACTTTTTAAACAGTGGCTTTCGATGTATACGGGGCAAAAACCATGCATAAAATTTGATGGGCAAGTCTGAATTTTCCATAGGACTCCTCCTCATGACTAGCCAAAGAATCCCACAAAATCTAATAAAAATTGTTTTATAACTGTGAATTCAATGGGGTAACACCTTTAGGCTATCTAAACAATCCCACCAAGTTTGAAAAAGATCTCCCATAAACTTGAACTGTTGCATACCTCTCAATTTTAATCTGATTCTTCTTACAAATTTATGTGATTAATTCCATTAATTTTGAAATAAAAACCTCAGAAACTTTATCTGTACAGTGTTTAGAAGATTTCGGTGAACAATCAATAAAAATCATCCTTATGACTAACTAAACAATTCCAGAAAATAAACAGAGTCTCGTAAAATCTGATCTACAGGAACGTTTACAAGCTTTCATTTACATGGGTTGTACCTTTGTAAAATATTATTGCCCGGTAAGGTTCCTCTCTTTAAGACTAGCCCAACAACACAAGAAATTCTTGAAGAATTATGTTTTTTATAAATCTCTGAAATACTGACCTGTAGAGAGTTTACCAGAATTACCAACAGATCAACGGACATCGGTGACAAAATATACTACCCTATGAAAATAACCTACCTGAATTGGAACGTTAAGTCTGGTTACTATACTAGAAAATTTTTCTTTGAGATCATCCATCTTAACTTTACCTCTAGCTACACCCATCTAATTTAGAAGAAAAATATAAAATGTATTTTTTACTTTCAAATAAAATGTATTACTACTTTCAATTAATGTAAATTTTACTTTCAATTTTTTATGTATACAAACTTGCACTAAATTTTGTAAAAGGCTTCATTCCTCAACAGGCAATTTGGAATGAGTTCAATTCTATATTCTATAGTTAAAGTTCTGACCATATAATATTTGTTTCCTCCCAAGAAAAAATGTACTTTAAGATGTTCTCTCTAAATTAAAAAATAAAACAATTCAAATCTAACCTGATTTGTAAATAAAACAATTTTGTACCCATCTTGATAAAGTTCTTTTATCTTCTTAGGTATTTCTACATAATGTAACCTTTGAAATAAATACCATACATTAAAAACATGAAAAAAAAAAGTAATTATTGCAGTAATGACTTCATTGTTCTATTCTATACCCATTTTACTTATTTTTTTATAGAGGTTTATGAATTTTGGTTAAACCAAGAGAGCAACAAATTGTATTTAATATGTAAGGGCTGGGGCTGAGTAAAGTTTCTGTTGTCAAGATGATATGTCATTTTGATTACCATTAGTCTAAACCAAATTTTCCATTCTGTTGTGATATTATACGCTGGCAGCAGATATTTAACCCCTTAACTGTGTAATTAATTTGACGTTAACTACCCCCTATTGCGTAATTAATTTGACGAAAAACGTCATTTTTGGGCCTATTTTTTCCTGGGGGGCGGGCATTCACCAAAAAGGATGACCTCTATTTATTCTGGTGCATCCCTGACCCCCTGGCACAGCTCCATGCCCAATTTTTGTGTGAGTCGCCTACAGGCTGTAATTCTTAACAGATCCTTTTGAAACTTTGCATAACTATTCCTTATACCCTAAGGATGTTTCTATTGTTTTTGGTGCATGCCCAATCCTCAGGGTCAGACCACTTCCATTTTTTCTTTTGGTGCATGCCCGACCCCCAGGGGCACAACAATGCTCATTTCTTTTAAGTTTATCGCCTAGGGGCCGCAATTCTGAATGGATCATCCTGGAGGGGGTCATGTTCCCACCATTGGTCCGGTTGATATGGAATGACCCTCAAGGCATTGACCTAATGAACGCCTATATGGCCTTTAACAAATCCAAAATTATACTGCTCTAGGTCAAAAACTCGCTGAGATACATGTATGGCCATTTGAAATTTTTTGGGAGGGGGGCATGTTCCCATTATTGGTCCAGTTGATATGGAATGACCCTTATTAAACAGTTATGGGACGATTGCAGAACAAAGTCCATCATTTCTAGTTTTAATTAACTGAAAACTGATTTATGTGAAAGAAGATAACACTTAGATAATTTGCCGTCCCCTGTGCGAGTTTAAAGTGCCTGAAAATCTGAAAAAGATTACTGGATGTATTATCCATTTCAGCACCCAAATGGCCATATGTCAGAGAGTTTTTGACCTAGAGAGGTAAAATTTTGGATTTGTTAGCTTAAGGCAGTGATTCTCAACCAGTGTGCCGCAAGATCTTCCTAAGTGTGCTGCGAAATTTGAAATGCGAAAAACCATGTGATCCTAATTGAGAATTTACTGGTGTCTATTAGTAAGCTTATAGCTGTGTTTTTTTTTCTTTATTTGAGTCATTCTATGTGTCTGACTAGTCTGTGTCTACTGTTGTATGCCCTCTATGACTTGCCATCTTTTTATTTTGCAAAATTCAAATATTTTTCATATATATTTAGCCGGGTGTTCCGCTATTTTTTCATGTGTTCCAAGGTGTGCCGGTGACACAAAAAGGTTGAGAACCACTGGCTTAAGGCCATATACTATAACATTTTTTGGGAGGGGGTCATGTTCCCACCATTGGTGCAGAAAAAAAGTCCATCTTTCCTAGTTTTAATAAACTCAAAACTGATTTATGTGAAAGAAGATAACATTTGCTAACAAGGAAGTGCTTGAAATTAGAAAACAGCTAAAAATAATGAGGGATGCAATACACCACGTTTGGCACATGCGCCCAAGGTTGGCCATCCATGCTCTAGGTTCCAGTCTAAAGATAAGGAATATTGCTTTTTGTACTTACTTCCAGTCACCTGGATGAGTAGGAAAAACTTTGCCTGACTGTGTTGTAATGATTGTTCCATCTATATCAAACCCAGCAATCTGTTAGAAAGTAAAGCGAAGATGAAAAATAAATGTTAAGAATACAATATTATATATGCACTGTTAAGGTTGGGAAATGGTACAGTGTGCATGTTCTGTCCTTTCTCTGGATATATATTGAAACCTGATGTCCTTGAATTAGACATTTCATCAATGTATTTGGGTGAAGGGGGAGGGGGGAGTTATAGTCCAAGATAAACTTAATGTTATATTAAAATTTTGTAGCCAAAATATGACTGCTACAGAAAAATAACCTCTAAATTGTAATTACAAGAGTATAATATGTTTTATGTCCAATGACCGAGATAATGAAATATGAATGTCACATAGCTGGGCAAAAGACATTAAATCCACATTACAAATACAAATATTAGTTTTGACTGAATGATCTCATGTATATAAGAATTGAAGAATGCTAGCTAAGACTTTCTGGACAATTTTAAGAACCAACACCTGCTTTATTTTTTAAAATTCTAATGTTAATTATAATGCAAGTAGCAGCTTACAAAACCCCCCTCTATAACTATTATTTAAATCAGAGGAGTCAGTTCACCTTTTCTCTTCCCTCAACACCATCTGGTGTATAGATATATAGCTTGTCATGTTGTTTCCATAATAAATGACTTGATATAGAATGTGATGATTTTTTGGTAAAAAATTTAAATTCAATTTTTGGTTTGTTAGGCACGGGTGGTGAATCACTTGCTGCATCTGTGGAAGTTGGTACTGTATTACTTTTGTTTTCTTTCATTTTTTGTAATTTGTCTGCAACACTTTTCAGATGAGATTCTTCACTTTCTTGGTCAGTTGATAAATTGTTATTTTTTTCTTTATTGTTTTTCTCATCTTCTTTAGCGCCATTACTGGACTCTACCTCTGATATATTTTCTATATTCTTGATTTCAGCATCTTTCTTTTTGTTTTTCTCATCAGATTTGAATTCTTGAATAGATTTGTCATCTTTGTTTGAATGTTTCAAGTTTTTATCGTTTGGTTTAGATTGTTTTGAATCTTTTAAACCTATTCCATCGTTTTTGGAATGCTTTGTAATTTTCTCATTTAATTTCGGTGTCATAGTTTTGCCTTCAGCTTTGGCATTTTTCAATTCATCTATTTTTGTCTGTAGTAAATTAGAAACCTTTGTTGATATTTTAGTTTTCGATAAATATATATCTGTTCCATTATTTTCATCGGTTTTCAGCCTTTTAGTATTTTCTGTTCCTATTGATTCTAAACTTTCAGAGCTCGGTCTCTTATGAGAGTTGTTGTGACAAGATCCTTCAGTTTTATCAACATCTTTCTTTTTAATGTCATGAAAATTAAATTTAATTGTATGCGGATATTCTTCATTTAGAATAAACAAGGTTGACCCAGCTTTTAATTTGGCACTTTCACCTTTAGCCAGTTTAGTTTGATCAATGGTACAGGAATTACTTCCTAACTGTTTAACATCAACTTCTTGTTTCTTCAAATTAGCTGTCAACTGAACTAAAAAAAAAAGGAAGAAATACACAAATACAGTAAGCTTTGTACTAATAATAGTATAAATTTCTTATGCAAGTCTATCACAAGGCAGGTATATATAGACTCGATAGAGTGCCAGTTAATTCATCCACCAGCAAACTCGTCCACAGTCAACTCATCCACTACAATTGGTTAAGTCATCCACAAGGTATTAGTTATGTCGTCCACAACTAATAGTTGACTAGTACACACAGTAATTGTATGGAATAATTAAGTTTTACTTATCAGTTGTTTTAAAATTGTTTTATTAATTTTTTACCTGATGATGGCCAATTGATTGGCAAATTTTACAATTTTCCACAAGCAAACTCAATCCCAGTTTACTCATCCACAACCATTGTTTAAGTCGTCAAATACATTTTACTCATCGGTTGTTTATTTACCCAATGATGGCCGAGATTAGTTCAACTATCTTTTGTAATAAAGCAGCCCTGTAGTCTGTAGTGTTTGTTGATTGGCAAATTTTACAATCACATTGACAGAATCACTCACCTTAAGGCATCACATAATTTTGTTATCCATGTCCATGAAGCCCCTGCATTTTCGCGCTAAATTTAACCTTAGTTAGTTACTATGTCTGTAGTATGCAATGCCTTATATGGCATTGAACCGTATGGTAATCGAATTCACAAGCATTGATTAGCAGAGAAATGATAGCGATCTATTACTATGCAGTCATCGGAAAATTCCATATTCGCCATGAATTTCAAATGGAGTCGCTACAAAAGTTGTTCTTTGTGTATATAAATGGTAATTATTATATACATGTATAGCTAGTAATAATGAATATATTGACAAGTGAATGGCACCGTTTGTATTTCTGTGCTTTTAGCGAATAATTTGGGATATCAGTCAGTTAGACATATGCAAGAGCTAGATCTGCCTATTGCAGTCTTTCCTTAGGCCTGAAATATTATCTAAATTATTAATTAATTAACTTATCGAGACCATAATCAACTCTCCATGCCATCGCTAGCCTGCGATATTTAGCGGATTGGAATACATTTTGTGAAGGATGATTAAACGTAAAAATTGATATTCGAGACTTTAATAATGATGATCGAGGCTAGCCTAAAATTCAAAGCGTGGAGCAATTTGACTGGAATTTTGAACATATTCTATTTACGTTATCTATTTTTTTAACTATTATAGCAAGAACTGTCAACTTTTTATCTAATATCCCATAATGCCCCTTTAAGTATTGGCCATTTTATGAAATACCAGCAAGTTCATGGGGGTTATCAAAATTACCAGTAAATGCGCTAATTGCTTGGATTATCCTCATTTGTCACATGGCCTATTTTCACATAGGCAACTTACTGGATCTAGTCCCTATGAATATTCAGCTTGTATATTTACGGGATAATCAAATTTACCATTAACTGTGACAGGATACATTGTATTTCTAATGCATTTTTTTTTATTCATTTGCCACCCAGGCTACCGTGCAGGGAATTTTGGGGGTCCAGTAACAAACATAAGTCGCCATGGATTGGGTATGTAGACCAGTCAACTGATGCCATGTGGACGATTCAACCAATGCTGTGTGGACGACTCAACCAATGTATTTTGATATTTATGGACGACTTAACTAGACTTTTCATGTGGACAGGTTAACTGGCATTCTACTAATAATATTATACACGAAACTTATAGGTCCATCTATAATCATTCCATTCATACATAGGTTAGTTACAGTATTGATGTTTCACCATAACTCATATTATTTTGGTTTTAGAAAGGGTTACAGTTGTCAGGATATTCTAATAAAAATCATTTAGGATTTGCGGAAAGCTTTGGATGACAATCTCTGTAGCTGCTATTCTCATGGATCTACCCAAGACTTTTGACTGCATGTTGCTCATGTCCTTTTGTTATTACTTAAATTAAAGAGCTACGGTTTATCGAGCAATGCACTAGATTTTTTAAGAAGTTATTTGAGTACCGGTAATAGAAAACAGTATGTAAGAATTGGAACAGTTTGTAGTTCTTTCTTAGAAATTTTAAAATGATATTTTTACTTTTATTGAAAAAAGCGAACTTTACAATTATGCAGATGATAATACCCTTTCATTTTCTCATAGGCTTCTTCATCTCATGACCTTAAATGCTGTGTATAAATTTAAAGTCAATCGGATATTAACTTTAGCCTCTAGAGCGTCCACAAGATTTTTCAAAGTGATCAAGGGCCATAACTCTGGCAGTAATTATCGGAAATTGCTGAAAATCAATAGGCTTCTTCGTCTCATGACCTTAAACACTGTGTATAAATTTAAAGTCAATCGGATATTAACTTTAGCCTCTGAAATGAAATTGGGTTTAACGTCTTACTGTTCTGTTCCGAACGGAGCTAATGAAGACGGGCATACGCCATACAGTGTGCTATGAGGGGAAATTTTGCCCGGACAGTGGCACTACGGCATACTCTTATATCAAATTCCAACTGTCAAGGGATCTTTTAAGCGCACGCCAATGTGTACACAGGACCTGAGACCTCATTTTTTTGTCCCATCCGAACGACTAGACAGCTGTCCTTGCCAGGCCCTCCGTCCTGCATCACTGACAAGGGGGAACCATGCTGGAAAATCTGGATGAACTTTCTCGGCCAATGCAGGGATCGAACACCCGACCTCCAGGCTAGCGAGCCAGCGTCTACCCACTTAGCCACCGTGACCCCCAATTTCAGCCTTGTGGACGCTGGAAGGACAGGGGCTACGACAATATACGACCACATTTCAATGTGGGTGTATAAAAATCCTAATTTATCCATAGATAAACGAAGACAGTAATTTATTCGTGAATTTTACTGATGTGACATTCAAACTGGTACGGGAATAAAAATGGAAAATTTCCGGAAAGGTGTACAATGTATCTAAAACTTTCAGAAGGATGTACAGTGTAGGCCTACCTATTTGTCGTTATTTTTTGTGGTAATCACACATATTAGCCTATCCAGAATATGACATTCTCCATAACAAATTACCAAGTAACCAAGAATTATTTTTGTTGAAGTCTGGAATGGGAGCTCATAAATTATAATTACCCTATTTTCTACCTGGATGTCATTTTGGCCCAATTCTGGCAGGTTAATTTCAAAATGGATTAAAAACCTTGGTTCTTCACTCATTCATTTTATTACTGATTATTTTGGTATGCGGCCTATTGTTCATGTGAAGTGAATTTGCGTGAATAAATTTAACCACGCGCCGTACTCGCACTCAGAAGTTTAATTTTGCATGAGTGCTTCATTACTCACCATCGGCATCATTTTCTTCCTGGCAAGCCCTGATATTACAACGAATTGCAACCAAAAGCATACATTATTGGGTGTTATTTTGGAGTTACTGGGTGTTATTTGGGAGTTATTGGGTAATTCGATAGCCTACTACTAGTACTTGACTAGTCCAGTTCAGGTCAAGGAATGTAGCCACAGAGAAGCTCTGGTGTTCATTCTGTAAATACACCCTACTGCAAAAATATATGTCGTTCTGAAATTCATCATTCATTATATAGGAGGGTCTATTTCATCGACGAAATAAACCTAATATAGACCTGAACCTATATAAATTAATACCTTGATGTCTCGAGCATCTTGCATCTTTTATTTTTGTGGCAGGACTTCTGCCAATCATAACAGCTTCGCCATCCGGTAGTTCAATAGGATCGTGAGAATTTTTCAAACAGATAAGTTCACAACTTTTCATATCTGTTAACCAAATCAACCAACAAACAATATAAATGACCCTTAAAAATAAAAGATTTTCACCAATTTTCGTTACTTTAGCTTTAGTTTAGCGCCTTGAAGAACACACAAGAATTCAGATAGGGAAGATAACTATAAATTTCAAGTATGGAGTCGAGATTAGCCAGACCTTACACATGCACGCTTTTCATTAAGTCAAGTAAAAACAGTACAACCATAGAACTGTACTATACGATCTATGGTACAACATAAGTTCTAGTGAGCTTTTAAAATCGACTATTTTATACAGTCGTATATTAAATATATACAGATGGCAACATGCCAAATGATAGGCCTATAAATTGTAGTTATCCCCCCTCTCTCTATCTCGCTCTCCTGTCACTCATTGGCTTTGTCATTGTCCTGCACTAAGAAATGAAATGAAATGAATGGGGTTTAACGTCCTACTGTTTTGCTCCGAACTGGGCTAATGAAGACGGGCATACGCCATACAGTGTGCTATGAGGGAAATTTTGCCCGGACAGCGGCACTACGGCCTATACTCTTATATCGAATTCCAACTGCCAAGGGATCTTTTACGTGCACGCCAATGTGTACACGGGACCTCGGATTTTCGTCTCATCCGAATGACTAGACAGCTGTCCTTGTCAGGCCCTGTACTAAGACTATTACTGTTTTATGCCATCATGGATCGTATTACCATGGTATTACAGTTCTATGATGCCATTCCTAAAAAAAATATCCGTCAGTCTTATTAAATAATTACTTGAACTTGAACTATACATAATACATAATCATAATCAATAGTGATATAATATAATCAACATATTTAAAGTACGGTTGCTAAGTCTAGTCTAACTCAATATCATCCAAAATCTTCAACATTGAAAACACGATTTATTTGTCGGTTTAAATCAACATTGATGTTGTGATCTTACCGGAAAATGATGGGCTTTTGATATCCAATATTTAAGACAAAATAAACATTTTACCATTGGTACACGAATCGTGTACCATAATGCGCTTCAGCCCCAGTTGTATCAAGAGACTCGAGGGACGAGGCTAGACACATTGCACCAAATCAAACGGCATATGTAGACTGGAATAACCAGACGCTAGAAATTTGCACTCGCTTGAGACTGCTGGCTTATTTCGCCGAATATAACTGATTTGAAATTGGAGTAAAAACGGAAACCATTGAATGTAAATCAGTTTATATACATTCATATTACAGTATTATATGCGTTGCGACCCACTTTTGTCAATTCCTAGGTCCTAAATGTTAGCGATTTAGCTCCTTTAAACAAAATTTCGTCGTTGAGTATTAAAAACAGAAGAAGAATAAACTAAGAGTAAGAATAAAAATAAAACAAAAATAATACCCCCACCCCCACCAAAAAAAAAGAAAAAAAACATATTTATCAATCAGGATCACATTTATTTATGTAGTTAACTACATTAAATAAATCAACATGACATAACTTTCTTCCCACCAAGCTGGCACTCCCCTATTGGATTCGGAACCAATTTAACACAGTCACAGGTCTACGTCTATACCAGTGAAAATACAAAAGATTTTAAAAATTTGTATCAGCAGCACAGCAAAATTATTATTCATATCAAACTGTATTGTTCATGTATTTATGATTTATATTTTAATCCCACGCTTATTATTTATATGCCATTAAACAACATTTCATTTCATTTATTATTTATACACAATCCTGATAAATTAAAATATGCAACAGGTACAAATATATTTTCTTCCCAAGTTGGCACTCCCCTAGGTACCAAAATGCAGGGCTATCATACTACTGAAAATACCAAAGATTTTAAAAAATTATATCAAGGAAAAGCTTATATACATGTACATATAGCCAGCACTGCAAATGAAATGAAATGAAATGGGGTTTAATGTCCTACTGTTTTGCTCCAAACCGGGCTAATGAAGACTGGCATACGTCATAGTGTGCTATGAGGGAAATTTTGTCAGGACAGTGGCACTACAGCCTACTCTTATATCGAATTCCAACTGTCAAGGGATCATTTACGTGCACGCCAATATGTGTACACGGGACCTCAGTTTTTGGTCCCATCCGACCAACTAGACAGCTGTCCTTGTCAGGCCCTCCATCCTGCATCACTGACAAGGGGGAACCATGTCGGAAAATCTGGATGAACTTTCTCGGCTAATGCAGGGATCGAACATCCGACCTCCAGGCTAGCGAGCCAGCATCTTATCACATAGCCACCGTGACCCCCGCAGCACAGCAATATTATTCACACCGAACTGTATGGTTTATGTTTTTATGATTTATTAATGTATATATTTTAATCTCACATTCTCACACAATTATCATTCATACACAATCCTGAAAAATTAAATTAATACCTTTATGTAGGCCTAACAGGTATAAATATATTTTCTTCCCAAGCAATTAAAATGGACTGTATTCATTCAATTTTCAAAAATTACATCTTCATTTTAAATTACACTTATAAATCTAATATTACACACTAAACGACAAGCAACATTTTCTTTTGTCAAAGTCAGTTGGTTGAAGTATTAACTGTGGTCTGTACCCATTTTAGATCACAAATTTAGTGTTTATTGAGCGTATATGCCCGTATATGACAATTTCAATAAACCAGCGGTTGCCAGGCAAGATACATCCACATTTTGCCAGAGATGGATAGAGAACAAGCTGGGACCATAACCCAGAAAGTTACAGTCTAAAATGCGCAAATGTCAAAGGAACTGAGGTATTTTAATTGGGATATAAAGATATATTTTAAGTTTCATCGGATAAAAATTGTGACCTCAAGAGGGTCCACAACCTTCTTATTACATACTTTTACACAATTTGCAAACAAAGCGCGGGCATCTTGTCGGGGAGTTTAATTTCGATTTTCCCGAAATATGAATTCAACTTTCATTAAGGTAGAAAGGTGATATATTTCAACAGTTTTTAAAAGCTAAAAAAACGCGATTTTTCATACAATCAGGGGCCATAATTGAAGGTTAAAGTCTGATATATGCACAAATATCGAAACGAAACAAGATCTTGGGTTAAAAACATACATAAAAATCAGGTCAAAATTATCGTCTCTAGAGGGTCCACAACCTTCATATACATGTACCATCCATTTTATCCGGCAGTTTTGGTCTGATTTTCACAAAATTCAAACTCAACCATATGGTGTAATGGTGATATATTCAAACGTTTTTTTTTATATCAGATAAAAATTTTGACCTCTATAGAGGGACCACATTACAAAATGGAAGGAACATCGTTGGAAGTCGTCGAAAATCATCCATACCTAGGAGTAGAACACTGATATACAACTTACATATAGACATCATATATAACCTCAAAAGCCTCAATAGTCTTAGGATTCCTGAAACATAATCTTAGACACTGTCCAAAAAACGTGAAAGAGCATGCCTACCAAACATTAGTACGACCGAATATCGAGTATAGTTCAACAATTTGGAACCCGCAGCAGAACCCTAGTAGTGTTACACTTATGATACAGCAGCTTAACTGGCCATCCCTGGAACAATGCAGACAATATTTGGACTTAGTACTTATGTACAATGTTGTACATAGCCTGGTAGCAGTACCAACGTCTATATACTACAAGATCCATCAGTTCGTCACAGCAGAAAGTTTATACCATACCACTGTAAAATTAATGTGTATCAACACTCATTTTCCCCATGCGTAATCGTTCATTGGAATCGTATATCGGACCAAGTTCTCCAGCTGGTTGCACTAGAAGTTTTAAGGAAGTTTTGCAGTCGGAAATGAAATGAAATGAAATGGGGTTTAACGTCCTACTGTTCTGCTCTTATGCTGGGCTAATGAAGACGGGCATACGCCATAGTGTGCTATGAGGGAAATTTTGCACGGGCAGCGGCACTATCGCCTACTCTTATATCGATTTCCAACTGCCAAGGGATCTTTTACATTCCCTAGTAGGACACAAACTAGGTCATTTCGGGACTGGTTCAATTTTATTTCAATAATTCGCTTGTACAAGGCTGGACAGGCGACCCTACTCCTTGTCACATACAACCGGGGAATCGAAACCACGCCAGTTGACTCAATGACAGACCTTATGATACAGCACTGACATTGTACATTCACCAAAAAAAATAGGGATCATCCTTAGGGTATATGAAATCTGTTAAGAATTGTGGCCTGTAGGCGAAACACACACACAAAATTGGGTGTGGCTCTGTCCTAGGGAATCGGACATGCACCAAAAATGACAGAGGTCATCCTTAGGAAATGAAATGAAATGAAATGGGTTTTAACGTCCTACGGTTCTGCTCCGACTGGGTAAATAAACGGATGTACGCCATACAGTGTGCAATGAGGGAAATTTTGAATATTCCAACAGCAAAGGGATCTTTTACATGCACACCAATGTATAAACGGGACCTCAGTTTTCCATCCCATTCGAACGACTGAGATATCTGGGATATAAACATAAATTTCAAGTTTCATCAAAATCGGATAATATCAGAGATATTTGGGATATAAAGATATATTTTAAGTTTCATCAAAATTGGATAGAAATTGTGACCTCTAAAAGGTTCACAACCTTCGTATTACATACTTTTACACAATTTGTGTACAAAGAGCGGCCATTTTGTCGGGCAGTTTAGTTTCGCTTTTCCCGAAATTCGAAATTCAGCCTTCATTATGGTGAAATGGTGATATACTTAAACATTTTTTAAAATCGGATAAAAATTGTGACCTCCAGAGAATCCACAATCTAAAAAACACGATTTTTCGTACAATCAGGGGCCATAATCCAGGAAGTTATGGTCTGATATGCGCAAATAGCTAAAAGAACCAAGATCTTTGGGACATAAACATATATTTGAAGTTTCATCAAAATCTGATAACAACTGTGACTTCTTAGAGGGTCCACAACCTTGGTATGCCATACTTTTACACTTTCAGGCAAAACTTCTCTAATACAAATGAACAGGCTGGATTTATGCATGTTTTATTTTGAACATTATATATCTAAAAAAAATTAAAATATGGCATTATCTTCATTTTTACAAGATAGACAATTACAAAATGCTTGCAGGTGAATTTCACTATAGTATAACTGAAGAAAAAATAAACTATAAAAATAAAACTTCAGCATTCAATGCATGGATGTGTGTGTTCAAATTGTGTAGGCTATCTTCAAGACAGTGGATAGACCTGAGTCCGTATTCAAAGGTTTTCTTAAAGTTGAATAAAAATACCTTAAATCAGTATTCAAAGGCTCTATTTTACATATAATTGGCTATGTGGAACACTTAACTGAACACTTAAAATATGGAATACCCACATTAGCCAAAAATTTTTAACTTATGAATTAACCTCCACTGCTAAAAATCAAGAATTATTCATGTCGCACACAAGTTATGTCCCCTTAAGAGCACCATACGCTATTAAAATCTTACAAGGAAAATGTTTGTCGAAATATTATATCGTAACGCATGAAAATAGTATGGCTATTTATGATATATCATGATTGTACACATCAGTTGCCGGAACAGTCGTTTTTGTAGATGTTTTTCAAAAACGATAAATTTCAATTGCAGCTAACGAATAGTGGTAGTATAATGATATTGTAAACATTACTATTTTAACAATGTATAATGAACATAAAACATGCAGGGCTTTTGGCTTTAAAGTTAGACTGAACAAATCATTCAGTGTTGTTTAACAATCTATCATATGAGAAATTCATAGAAATTGTGTCAGAGCCTACACTTTAGAATCCCAAAGGCCCGGCCATGTCGGTACATTGCGTGTACGAAAGATGCATGAGGCGTTATTTTCTACCCGGATAAATACTACCAATTAAATCGCAATAGGTAACACAAGAAATAAATTGTAAATCATTGGTGGCATGCTTTGGTCAGCAGTCATCATCATATATTTATACAAACGAAGACAAGAACATTTGGGAATGAATTGTAAAAAATAAACCATGCATTGCTTCTCGCGGCAGTACAAATATTTGCTGAAATCTACAATGGAATGCCATCGCAATGTCAATTTTACAAATGAATTTAATGCATCAAACTTTATTATATGGAAAATATGATTAAGCAATACGAACATGATAAATGATCGCAAAAAAATCAACCTTGACCATCTCGGTGGTAGTGAAGTTATGCACTATTATGGCATGGCAGCTACACTGGCAACATTGTCTTTGTTTCAATCTCAAACCCCTATCTTTTAAAATTGCTATTATGGGCATGCTACTACATTGTGTACTCTGGTTAAAAGAAGTCATTATAACCTCACTTAACTTTAAGGCCACACAAAATAAATGTCTTGTTTCTCGGGCAACTGACAGCTGAAACTGTAGGAAGGGAGGGCGGTTTCTTTTTTTTTTTTTACTCATTGATGGTGCAAAATAAAATTTGGCTATTGCTGAAAATTGTTGGGGCGGGAGGGCGGTCTTTCTTTTTTTTTTTTTTAAATGAGAAAGTCATTACTTGTTTACGTTTTTGCTTTCCGTTATATTCAACTTTATTGTACATACTTAAAACATAAACCCAAAATCAAGTCTACTAAAACACTGAGACTGAACACTGACTGAAAGGAAAATAATTTTCCATATTTAATTCACATAATTGAAATTGGTTTAAAATAAAATTCCATACGACTATGTAATAGCCCTCCATAAAGACAACAATATTTTTAAAAACTAAGCCTCTTTCACCAGGTGTATCAAAAATAATAATCATGGTAAACAGTATTTAAAACTAAATCTAGTATCGCCGGTTTATTTATAATTATTTACCGAATTCCAACCAATGCATGTCACACCGTGTCATCGGTATTGGAGATTGCCGGAAATACTGTTTCTTGGGATATTCGGTGTTTCTCAGGATATTCGGTGTTCTATCCGGTGTTTATATTGAATGACTATTTAAATCTAACTAACAACTGGTCAGTAAAACCATCAAATCGGTAATCCAATTATTATTTTCCGGATTATCGAAACTACCGTAAATGTGCTAATAATGACCCAGATTCTAAGGTATGCATTATGACGACTATCGCCATCGTGTCGTATTCTTAGCTATAATTAATTAACCTGTTCTACGGTTCATTATTTTATCAATAGGATTTTCCAAACAAGGACCGACTGAAGCCGGCAATAATGAGCCGATTACGATCGAATGATTGAAATATTGTCGCCAATGACTTTTAACACGAATCAAATTCTAGTTTATCAGGGGAGGTAATTAATATCACGTGATACAAAATGGAGGTTCTTTCGATATCAATAAAAAAGGCAAATCTGCCAAACTTCGCCATTGTTCGGATAAAAAAGACAGCATGTTCATCTGAATCAGTTTTAATACATTTGAATAGATATACATGTATGGCGGATGTAGGTACATGCGGGATATTTTTTTTACGACTTGCTTGTCGATGTGCGGGCGGGCGTTACATATTTATTTTTTTTCATCAAGACTAATAAATAGACTGCACGCGCAACCAATTTTGCGTGCGGGCGGTGCCCGAGAAACAAGTTATTTTATTTGTGTTGCCTAAGGTACCTTCAATGGGTCACTTAAAGTTAACTGGATTTTTCTCACTTAAACTGGCCTTTGAATACCGCTAAATACTAAACTTAACTTTAAAGGAAAATTTGATACTTAACATTGCCTTTGAATACCACTTACCCTTAACTTACAGATAGTTACGTATATTTAAGTGAAATCTAGTAATTAAGTGACTATCTTAGACTTAAGATATCCTTTGAATATGGACCCTGACCTGTCGAAATAGGATCAACCTCGGACTCTCCTTTGAAATGATGTTACATTGAAAAGGTTAAAGAAAAGCACTTTAAACATATTAATAAAGTTTTAAACCTAAATGGAAGTGAATTTTGTTTGTGGAAACTTAACACAGTTTTGACTACACTTGTTTCCACAATCTGACCACCTTGATAGGAAATTACCTTTGACAAATTTCTTACAACATAGTGTAAATGGCTCTGCATACATGAATTCAAAAATCATTAAAAATATTTACAATTGTGTGATTCATATATAAGATTAAATTAGTAATCTTTTTACTAAATGGATACAACCTCTTTGATTTAAGAGAAAATGAAGTATTGATTTGTTAAGATCTTGTACGATAATAGTGGTGTTGGGTCAGGGGAGAAATATGCTACATTAAAAGTTATAGCTATGGTAGATTCCAACAGATATTTGTGCTGTAGACAGTTCAAGTACAAAAGAAAGCTATATAGCCACACTTCTGTGGAGGTCACTAAGCTGAACATTTAATCATATGGAGTTTAGTTTAGCCACACTTCTGTGGAGTTCATTAAGCTGAAAATATCATCATATGGAGTTTACTCTTTTCCCATATCTACATATAACTTTAGATGTACCGATAATCAAATTAACACTTCAGTTTTTAATTAAATCAAATAGATTTTGGTCCTTAATTATAAAAATATATAATTTCCTAAAAAGCTATACTCTACTAAAATATTAAATCCACTAATTACTATATTAAAAACTAAATCTACTAGTATAAAATACAAAAATATATATTAACATCAGGACAGAACATTCATTTGCTTAGCTTCGTATGTACTTTTCTGAACAATTGAGATTCAAGTGTTCAGGGTTGTCAAAAAAAATCCTGATACACTGAAATACACATTTTACGCGTAAATGGCAAAACATTTGGCATATCAATATTTTTATTTTGTTTTCAAATAGACTGATTTTTTTAAGTACTTTCTTTGATTTACTTCAATAAAATTCATGTTATACAAAGCATAATCAAAAAGATTTTTTTATACAATATTGATATTTCTTTTTACTGTACTGAAATTTTACTTTTGAATTATAAATGACATCATTCAAGATTCTAATTACCAAGTTTTATTTAAAAAGACTAAATATATATGCAAAATTGTTCTTATTGGTTGCAGATGTCTTTAGTACCGTAGTAAGATGAAGACTAGATTAATATAAGCTAATGACATGATATCGACATATATCAGCTATTATTAATGGCATGTTCATATATATCAGAACTAGCTGGCAAACTCAATTCTGTTACTCAAATGTAATTATGTCAATTTAGAGCCTTCTGGACTCACAATCAAGCATCCTCATAAACAAATATTGACTTGAACTACGACAAGAAAACTTTATGGAAAACTACATTTGATAAGCAAGAAATGTAAAATGGCATTTTTGAATAATTACATCAACTTAATATGTTTTTATAATTACAATTTTTCAATTTTCTGTCAATAAATCATTATATAGCAATCTACATGGAAAATTTCTATGTTCAATATCGTTAACAAAATAGATATTGAAAAAATAACAATGTTATAATATTACATCTTAAAAATAGAGAAGATCAGGAAATTCTACCATCCATCAAACTATTTCTTGCATGCTTGATTTATTTCTCTTTTTAACCTAAAATGAAAATTATAAATAAATATTAAACTGAATAGATTGGAATGGGGTTACACATCTAGGTCAGGCCCGTAACCAGCTTGCTGACCGCAGAGTCCCCCCCCCCCCTTGAAGATGGGACGGCTGCAAACACGCTCTCCAGCCCAGAAAATCGTTCTTTAGCGAATTCTGAACAATTAACACACAAAATATAGGGCAGATATATATCAGAACATAACCAATAACATGAAATGTGGTGCCAGGTGCCACGTCCCCAAATTAATACTCGACATGATGATCCCTGCCTGCTGTCCATTACAAATAGTGGGCATTTCAGAACTATGGTCAGCAACTTTGCGTGGGGGGGGGGGGGGGGCAAATCATTTTTGCGAAGGTCGGTGTCACAGCTCCCCAAAAAATGAAATGAAATGGGGTTTAACGGCCTACTGTTCTGCTCAGACTGGGCTAATGAAGACAGGCATACGCCATACAGTATACTATGAAGGAAATTTTGCCCGGACAGCGGCACTATGGTAGGGTGACCCACCATAAATAAATATCTCCAAATATCTCTACAATTACACCACAATATTTACCAAGCCTTAAATCAGTTTCGCACATTTATAGTCACTAAATAAAGGGTTATGTTGTACTTAATAAGCTATGACCATTAACCATCCATAAATAATACACTGAAAAATGGTAACCATATTTATGGCTGGGTATCAATAGTGATTTTACTATCGATAATCGGCAATGAAATGTCGGTCAATAATCGATAGTATCGAAAACAAACTTATTTTCACGGTCATCATCAAGACTGGATACAGTGTAAGTTCAAAGTTCAAAACCATACGAAGTTGCGAAAGATCGTTTGCTCCTGTCTAAGGAGATTTATTTGGAAAACATTAATAAAACTTGTTATATCACGTATATATACGTAAATTTATGTTGTTTATTATTAAAATAATGCTGCCGTGGTTCCGAATGAAGAAATATCATAAATAATTATGTTAAGGGACCAAAATGAACTTGTTCCGATTCAAAACATTGCGTACGTGCGCGCGAAAATATCAATATGGCAGACGAATTCTGAAGCTTGCAAAGGGAAATTGTTATGTATTACATTGATACTTGATAGTAATTAAAGTGAGCGGTGTATTATGATTAACTGAAAGAAAACATTGACATTTCAGACGCAAGAAAAATAGACGAAGAGCGATAATCGATAGTAACCCACCGCTATCGATAGTGCTTTTCTGGGCTGTCCAATCGATACTATCGATTTATATCGATATTTTACCCAGCCCTAACCATATTATTACACAGAACAGCTAACTGCACTGGTTATTATTATTATTATAAAAGCTCCAATTTTTTTTATCCTTCCGGTTTTTGGTTTGGTTTTTTTTTGGACACATTGCATTGGACACCTCCTTGATTTTGCTATCAATTATTAATAAATGGTTTTTAATAAATGGTTACCTCTCTATTTCCTTTCTACAACTGTCTTTGACTTGTTTTCTAGTAACTTGCACAATATCTGTTATAGAATACTGAAACAAATACATTTATTATATTATTACTGTACTGTAATACAATTAAAGGAGCCGTCCAAGATATTTTTTAGCGAATAAAATTTGTTAATCACAGTGTAGGGTTGACTATACATGTAAGTGCTCAGTAAGTGCCTGTATAACAATATCTATATACTTGCCCATGTCATAGTGCATAGCAAAGTAATTAACATTAATCTGATAGGCTTCTTCATTTCATTAATTTAGACAAAGCATATCAATTTACAAAGATCAATGATAATTTTTGTCACCAGAACATTCAGAAGTGCATGCAAACTAATTTAAATAATGCATAAAATTTTCAAATAGATTGGTGATAACTTTCGTTGTTAAAGAATTCAGAAGATTCTATAACAAAAATTGCAATAAGTTTGGAAGTTATCATCAGAAATTGCTCAAAATCAAAGTGATCAAGGGCCATAACTCTGGCAGTAATTATCAAAATAGTTGAAAATCGTTTCATGATCTTAAACACTGTGTATACCACACATTTCAATGTGGGCGTATAAAAATTGTGACTTCTAGAGGGTCCACAACCTTTGTATTACATACTTTTACACAATTTGTGACCAAAGAGCGGCCATTTTGACGGGCATTTTCGTTTTGATTTTCACAAAAATTTAGTATTCAACCTTCATTATGGTGGAATGGTGATATATTTAAATGGTTTTTAAAATTGGATAAAAAATTGTGACCTCTAGAGAATCCACAAACTAAGGCTACACAAAATAAATGTCTTGTTTCTCGGGCAACTGACAGCTGAAACTGTAGGGGGGGAGGGCGGTTTATTTTTTTTTTTTACCTCATTTCTGGCTAGAGGATGGTGCAAAATAAAATTTGGCCATTGTTGAAAATTGTTGGGGCGGGAGGGCGGCCTTGTATTTTTTTTTTTTTTTTTAATGAAAAAGTCATTACTTGTCTACGGTTTTGCTTTCAGTTATATATTATACATACTTAGAACATAAACCCAAAAATCAAGTCTACTCAAACACTGAACACTGACTGAAAGGAAAATAATTTTCCATATTTAATTCACGTAATGTAGCTTACTATTAATACTAATGGTAATGGTGACAACCATAATTGAAATTGGTTTAAAATAAAATTCCGTACTACTATATATTAATAGCCGTCCATAATAACGACAATATTTTAAAGAGTAAGCCTCTGTCAGCATGTGTATCAAAAATAATCATTACGGTAATTAACGACACTTAGATCTAAATCCAGTATCGCTGGTTTATAATGATTGACCTAATTCCAACCAATGCATGTCATCGGGATTCGGGAAATGACTGTTTCTCAGGATATTCATTGTGTTTCTCAGGATATTCGGTGTTCTATCTGGGGTTTATATCGAATGACTATTTAAATTTAACTAACAACTGGTCAGTAAAACCATCAAATGTGTAATCCAATTATTATTTTCCGGATTATCAAAACTACCGTTAAATGTGCTAATGACCCAGATTCTGACTAAAGTCGAAGGTATGGTGACTATCATCGTATCGTATTCGTAGCCACAAGTTATAATAATTAACCTGTTCTACGATTCATTGTTTTATAAGTAGGATTTTTTCATACATGGACCGACTGAAGCCGGCGATAATGAGCCGATTAAGATCGAATGATTGAAATAAATCAAATTCTAGTTCACCAGGGGAGGTAATTAAAATCACGTGATACAAAAATTGAGGTTCTTTTGATATCACTAAAATTTAAAAAAAGACCCGTAAATGAGCGTTTACATCTGAATCAGTTTAATACATTTGAATGGATATTCACGCTTGGGGCATGTAGATAAAAGCGGGATATTCTTTTTATGACTTGCTTATAGATGTTCGGGCGGGCGTTATATATTTTTTATTTTTCATCAAGACTAATATAGGCGGCACGCGCAACCAATTTTGCGTGCGGGCGGTGCCCGAGAAACAACTTATTTTATTTGTGTTGCCTAAAAAACATGATTTTTCGTACAATCAGGGGCCGTAATCCAGGAAGTTGGGGTCTGATATGTGCAAATATTGAAAGTAAACAAGATCTTTGGGACATAAATATATATTTTAAGTAACATCAAAATCTGATACAATTAATTGTGACTTCTAGAGGATCCACAAACTTGGTATGACATACTTCTACACTATTTGCGTACAAGGAGCTGCCATTTTGTCAGGCAGTTTTGGTCTGATTTTCACGAAAATCGTCATTAGGTTGACCCAAGATTTTTGTGATATAAACATAAATTTAAAATCGGTTAAAAATTGTGGCCTCTAGAGGGTCCACAAACTTGATATACCATATGTTTACACAATTTGCGTACCAGGGGGCGCCCATTTTGTCTGACAGTTTTGGTCCCATTTTCACGAAATTTGAACTCAACCAACATTATGGTGTAACGGTTATATATTCAAATCTTTTTTTAAATCGGATAAAAATTGTGACCTCCAGGGGGCCACAAGCTAAAAACGCGATTTTGCATACAATCAAGGGCCAAAATCTTTGGTTTATAAACATGTATTTCAAGATTCATCAAAATCAGATGAAAATTTTGACCTCTAGAGTAGAGTGTCCACAAGCTAAGAACATGTTTTTTTGTACAATCAATGACCATAATCCATGAAGTTATGGTACAATACATGCCAATATCGAAAGGAACCAAGATCTTTGGGAGATAGTACAATATTTCCAGTTTCGTCAAGTCGGATAAAAACAGTGACCTGTAGACTGTCTACAAACACATTTGGATGTACGGACGTCCAGGCGGACAGACAGGGGCGATGGCATAATAGGTATACATGAAAATGTGGGCGTATGAAAAATATGTCTCAGTTAATAATACCTTAACCAGACTAGCTTGTCTTCGAAAATAAACTGATCCTTCTTCATTTTCGTGAATAGGATGAAGGTTGATTAAGGTGCCCATACCATGATCTTTGTTTCTAGGATCAGTTGAATCCCACGGTTTAATCCTTATTTCTATTATATAATCAGCTATTAATAATCCCTTAAATATATAAGTATTGAAATTCAGTTATTATCAACAAGAAGACTTAGACATCAACATATATATACTGGCTGTTGGACATATCATGAAAAGTACAGGGACAGACAATCTGTGTTATTGGTAATCTACAGTTAAATTAAGATATATAGCAAAGAGTAGCCTATTAGGTATTCCAATTTTGCCACTGGCATAGGTTATGTACACATAAATTAAGTTTAATTACAATCTACCACCACCATTTTCCATAGAATTAAACTACCAATGCATCATGTCATATGCTCAGTTCTAGATGCATGAATAAAAACAAAATTTCTGAGATGTAATAGATTGATGTGGGTACAAAGATATTTTGAATGAGATAAGAAAAGCTCTGGAATAAAAATTGTATACCAGAAACTAAATAAAATATGTTTTCGTGAAAACACAAGTTATTGAATTGAGAAATTTCTAATTAGTAAAAGGCATAACTACTATAATGGGATGATGTGTGTACAAGGTTTTATACAGTTATTTTGAACGGTTTGTGAAATATGCTACACATCATAATTGTATACCAAAATTTGTATGAAATTTGATTCCATGGAAACTAGTATTAAATCCTTGAAATTTCTAATTAGCAAATATGGCACAACTATGTATACATGTACAAACTTTCAAACAGTTGTTTTTTCAAAATTTTCTCGGGGAGGGCGAGTTCCCCATACGATTGTAATTCAGGTTAGGCTATATTGGACCATATTGAAGTTCCTGTATTCACAGGTTGGAATAGCAAGAAAACGTGTTTGCGGCTGTTTAGTTTTCCAAACTTTCTTGATGAGACCCCTTTGCTGATGCCCGGAGTGGGCCGTCTGTAAACAGGAATTTTTTGGGGCATTTCAGGTCTGGCCCCCTAACCTCCATCCGTCCTGTACGCCTATGACAATATGAACTATTTCTGAAAATCTGTGAAAAATTGAACTCTGTAGATGGAGTAAGAGTACGATTGTTTAAGCTTATCAACAGAAGCCTATTAGACACAGGTCATTACTCTGTTGCTGCTTTTGCAAGAAAGCTCAAAGTCATCAAGCTTTACCCACATATTAACGATTCCTTAATATTTGATGAAAATCAGCGAATAATTCAATTCTGTATAGTGGGATAAAAAATTGTGACCTCTAGAGAATCCACAAGCTAAAACACACAATTTTTCATACAATCAGGGGCCATAATCCAGGAATTTACGGTCTGATATGCGCAAATAGCGAAAGGGACCAAGATCTATGGGACACAAACATATATTTTAAGTTTCATCAAAATCAGATAACAACTGTGACTTCTAGAATGTCCACAACCTTAGTATTACATACTTTTACACTATTTGCGTACAAGGACTGGCCATTTTGTCTGGCAGTTTCGGTCTGATTTTTTACAAAATTCAAACTCAATCTTCACGGTTTTTAAAATTGTATACAAATTGTGATTTTTAGGTGGTCCATAAGCTAAAATTGCGATTTTCAAACAATCAGAGGCCCTGCTCCAGGAAGTTACGTTCAGATATGCATGATTATCGAAAGGAACCAAGATCTTTCGGATATAAACATAAATTTAAAGTTTCATCAAAATCGGATAAGAATCGTGGCCTGTAGAGAGTTCACAACCTTGAAATACCATATTTTTACACTATTTGCGTATGAGGAGCGGCCATTTTGTCTGGCAGTTTTGGTCTGAATTTCAAAAATTCGAACCCAACCATCATTAGGGTGTAACGGTGATATATTCACACAGTTTTTTAAATCGGATAAAAATTGTGACCTCTAGAGGGACCCTTGCTAAAAACGCCATAATTCATAAACGGGGCATAATTCAGGACATTAAGATCCACTTTGCCTAAATATTGAAAGATCTTTGGGTTATAAACATTTCATTTCATCAATTAAGATGAAAATTGTGACCTCTAGAGTGTCCAGAAGCTAAAAACGTGATTTTTCGTACAATCAAGGGCCATAATCCATGAAGATATGGTCCGATACATGCCAATATCGAAAGGAACCAAGATCTCTGGGAGATAGACCTATATTTCAAGTTTGGTCAAAATCGGATAAAAATTGTGACCTGTAGAGTGTCCACAAACAAATTAGTTTAGAACTAATAAGTAGGGCCTATAAAGTTGATAGAGGTACGGGGCGACATTATAACATGTGAGTGTATATGTTATTACTATATAGGATGTACATATTCTATATAAATAAAGCTGTTTGCATCAATAATTTATGGTTGGACAATACATTCAGTTTCAGTAGATTCACTAACCTTTTGTATTGACATTATGTATTATTCAATTAAAACTGAGAACAATACCATGAGATTTATTTAAGACAATTTAGTTTGAAAGGTTTCTTCCAACAGACTCCTTAATTTCTCCCTCGGGCATTACATTAAAATATAACATTTAATTAAGATTTTGAAAAGACATTTTTTTTTTTTTACTTTTCATGAACTCCTAATTTGTCCTTTGAGCACTATTCACGAATCATTAAGCGAAAATAATTTAAGGAAGCATTCTTTCTACAGAATAGTGTCTGTGTTCGGATTTTAGTTTAAAGTGTATATATTTTATGTGCTCTTTAACATTGCAATTTTCGAAAAAGAGGACAAAGATTTTATATGCTTTTGATTTCCATACAGATCTCAATTCAACTACAGCATTATGTTGTTATCACCTTATTTTAAAGATCATTAGTAAATGAAGAGCCCCGGGGGAAGAACGATCTATGTCACTTTTTCAACGAACCCCATTTAATGGCGCCATCTGGTAGCAAAAGGAATAAGCTTTCTGTGGAACAATCAATTTCAGGTAAAAACGATCGGAGTCGCATCGAACCAAGGCCCTTCTGAAATGGCCTCCAAGACAAATACAAGTCCATCGTATTTATTTGACCTTAATTTGGCTGAAAAGTGGAAGTCAGTTGTTGTACTGGTAATTATGATTCGTATTCAACATCATTTTGAAGTTGTAATTAAAGCCACTCGTTGTTTTGTTCGCGTCAAGCATTCTCGTCCAAAAGTCTGTTTTGCCTTTTATGCGAAAAGACAAAAATTTAACTTAGACTTAGATCGTTCTTCCCCTGAACTCTTCAAATGTTCTTCAACTTACACAGTTATGTTGAGCATTAGAGTCGTTATCACACCAACAATAACGGTGTGTCCTATATAAATGTTCTCTTGATCTACCTGTAATATCAACCACAGAACTGAAAAAAAAAGCAATATATAGGCTTTAACTTTAATGGTTTGCCTCTAATTTAGATACATTGTATATCTGTATAGCTGGTGGACTGCAACAGAAATCATGAAAATGTACATATTTCATAAAATAAAAATAATTAGATTCTAGCTACTTGGTATATGAGATTCAGTGTATAATTTATCAATTAAGATTTTGTTTCAACTTGTTAGACCGACTTCTGATATTAAATGCAAATGTTATCAGGTCATACCTAGAATCATAAGAACATTGTCTCGCAATGTCTTGCTCTGAGTAACCTTTGGATAATACCGGTATAAATTTAATTTTATATCTATGAGATTTAACAGGTGGTGTATATCTACCCATTAAATCTTGTAAACTACCTGTCACATGGTCCTTCTGAAACAATAAAATAAAACCCAGTGCAAGTTGCTGTTTCAAGATCTTTGACTGGGAATCATGTCACAAATACATACCACAAATTGTTTCAACTTCAATTTTACAATGGGGGTAAATAAAATGAAATGGGTTTTAACATTCTACTTCTCAAAATCGACAGGGCTAATGAAGATGCGCATAAGCCATATAGGGTGTAGAAATGGTTCCACTACTGATGTCTTTCCCCTTGCTCCAGCCACAGTAGTGGATCGTTCTGTTCTAAGGACTTCCTTTGAGCACGTTTTGTCATCAAATGACAAAAAAGTTACTGGTCTCTAACCCCCCTAATTACCAATTAATCTGACCCCAAACTGTACTGCACATCTTAACATATAATAAACCAATTCCCATTGAATTAAAGTTTAAACTTACCACATAAATTCATAACTTTAATAAAAATCCAGTGGCTATGGGATATTTCTGTCCCTTTTAAAATAGCCACCGATTCACCGAACCAGAATTAGAACATGCTTGTGATTTCACGTCCCCTCGAAAATATACAAAAACTGTTCGTTAAGATTTCAGTATTCCACAAAACTATTTTTAACTGCACAAATGCTTGTAGTGTGTATCAATTGTAGCCGTGAATAAGACAATTATCATGGTTACAATTATTGCAGATATATAGTGTGCTGTGAGGAGAAATCTGCCCAGACAGCTGCACTACGGCCACTCTTATTTTGAATTCCAACTGTCAAGGGTTCTTTTACGTGCCAATGCGTACACGGGACCTCGGAAACTGTGCCGTAAAATCAAGAGGAACTTTCTTGGCCAATACCAGGAGCGAACTCAAGACTTCCTGTTTAGCAAGCCAGCGTCTTTCCCACTGAGCTACCATGGCTCACACAATGAGGGAAAAGATTACTGTCCCGAGTATTATTCAACAAAGAATAACGCCGAAACAACTAGAAAAAATAGCTAGGTTCATTTGGTTCTATTTATAGAAAATACTAGATTTGGGTTTGAACCATTACCATCTAAATACGTTAAATCTTTATCTCCCTTTGACCTACATATAACACTATTTTGAGTCGCAGTTGTCCTTGCCTATCACATACCATAACATATAGTTGTGAAATCTTGTCAATACATGCCAGCACGTTCCCTACTTAGATTTTTTTTAACATAATTAGATTTAATAACACAGTCTTTTATCTAATGGCACAACAAGCCAGATCGTTCACAAATATCTACAGGCTCTAGTAAACTGTAGTTATTATGTAATTAAGAGCATTTGAGTTAAAACCAAAAACCATAGAATATGCTGATTGTATTAAAAAGAATTATTACTATATTTGTCTGTGCGAAATCAACAGAAACCAACGTAAACGTAAAATGACCATAATTTAAGTCAGAATTGGACCATCAACTTTGTTGTCCTTTTAGATAACGAGTGGAGATAGAAAAACATTTATTTCAGGAAAATACAATTTATACCTGGTATTGTGTAAGCTTTAGACCACTAACTTTACCAGAATCAATTATACCAAGATACACTGTGCCACCATATCCTGTGTTTAAAAATGCATTGATTGTCCTGAAACAAACAAACATGTGTTGCCATGCAAGATACGCCCACATTTTCCAAGGTATGGACAGAGAACAAGCAGGGAAAAAAATAGTTGGTCGCAAAATAAGTGCAGTCGGTCGCCGAATGAGGTAAACACTGTCAAAATAGAAGGACAAAATCTCAAATGCTGTAATATAGGTACATGGAGCGACTATTGTCAGGCCGTTTCGGTCTGATTTTCATGAAATTCACATTCAACCGTCATTATGGTACAACGGTGATATATTCTAACGTTTTTTTTAAATCAATTTAAAAATTGTGACCTCTAGATGGACCACAAGGTAAAAACGTGACTTTTTCGTACAATCAGGGGTCATAATCCTAGACGTTACAGTCTGTCACACGCGAGTATCGAAAGGAACTGAGATCTTTTGGTTATAAACACATATTTTAAGTGTCATCAAAATCGGGTAAACGTCCACAAGCTAAAAACGTGATTTTTCGTATAATCAATGGCCATAATCCATGGAGTTACAGTTCAATACATGCCGATATCAAAAGGAACTGAGATCTTTGTGAGATAAACCTATATTTCATGTGGGCGTATAAAAATTCCACAACTTATTAGGGTTTCTTCTTAGCCTAACTGAACAATATCACCAAGATTGAACAAATTTGTCCTGCATTGCGTTCAAAACCTCCAACAGTAAACCAAACATATATATCGGTCAAATGCATTCAGAATCATGATATATAAAATATGTTAGAGAAATTGCCTGCCATACATAAAGTTAAAACAATGTCATTGGGAATGACTTCTTTGAACTCTTCCCATCAGGTCAAAAAAATACCTTGAAACAGACTTTCGAGAAGATTTTTCTGTTTTACTCTCCTGAGTCCAAGGGGGTAACTCCTCAATGGTCAAATTTCTATGACCTTTAAACTCATGCATTGCATCTTCTTCAAATGGTACAATGCTTCCTCTGATATAGTAAGGCTTTACTTTTGGTCTTGCTGTAGCCATTATTGGTGTGTATAGTGTTACATGGAATTAATACATGGAATTATAATTGACTCCTAAAATAAAATCAAGTCAAATATATTTCAAGCTTTCTAGTTTATTTTCATATTACATATATAACAATTACTATAAACACAATGACACATATGAATTAATTAAATGTATATTTAAACATTAAAACATACCAATACATCCTGCAAATTGGAGTACTGCTAGTCAAGACCAAAAGATTTAGATATTTGTTATAATATTATGTCACTTCATATCTAATTGATGGCTGATTGTCAGATGACAAAACATTCAACAAGCAACAATTTGTGCTAATGTAATGTACAGTAATGTACTGGTATGTCATGATGAGTAAAAATAGTGCAATTAGAATGTCATAAGATGTTATGCTATTTTGTTAAATGCATGTAATATGCATTTAATTGGATTCATAATAAATAAAAAAAATTAATAAAATATTTTATGGTCATTTTTGCAGCTTTAGATTTAGAACAAAACTAAACAGTTTGTAAAACAAAATGTTGTGAATAGCACAATCGGCTAAAGCTTTAGTGTGTACACATTTCTATAGAAGTTTGTGGGATTCTATAGAATGCTATAGAATGCTGCAGGAAAACGAAATCATTCTGTATTTTTTTACATGACTATAGATTCAAAAACATGTACAATAGTTTTGTATAGGATTGGTAGATGAATATTTTCCAAGTGTAATTTCCTATAGAATTCTATAGAATACTGTAAGAAACTATTGGAAAAAAAATAAACCTACAGATTCATTGGTGCTGCAATAGTTTTCTGTAGAACTAACTTGTATCCTCGAGTCAGTTGAGTAATCCTTCAGTTTTCTATAGCCTTTGTGCTAAAAACTATAGTTTGCTATAGAACTAACTTGTATTCTCATGTCAGCTGTGATTCCTATAGATTTGGTGGTAAAAACTATAGTTTTGTATAGAACTAACTTATTGTCTCAAGTCAGTAGTATATTCCTATAGTTGTCTATGACATTCTGTTGAAAACTAAGAATTTATATGTATACTGTACTTAAACCATTTTAACAAATAGCCTACTATAGTTTCCTGCATAATATTGTAGAAACAATGTTCTATACTACAGATTTCATAAATTGGTGATGTCCTTTATTCATACTATAGTTTACAATAGAATTTAGTGATTCACTTGTGTGAATAATGTAAACTTTTCCAACATAATTTTCCTGGATGCAGTTTTCCTTAATTTATTGTGATACCAAATGACAAACTAAAATAAGCTTACCACGAAAAATAAAATATAAAGTATAAAATAGAATTTAGTGATTCACTTGTGTGAATAATGTAAACTTTTCCAACATAATTTTCCTGGATGCAGTTTTCCTTAATTTATTGTGATACCAAATGACAAACTAAAATAAGCTTACCACGAAAAATAAAATATAAAGTATAAAATAGTGTATATAATATGAATGAAATAGTGTTACGATGTTGACACTCAAAGGAATTCCCCACCCCACCCTCCAAAAAATGCCAGTAAATGTAGATGTTCACAACAAAAATATCAGATAATAAATTATTCTTCAGAAGTCAATGAAATAAAGACACAGTTTATTTAGATTTTAATGACTATAGCAGATTCTGTACTCAGATTCTGTCAACCGTGAATACCTGTGGACAAATTATAATTAACAGACAATGTACTCTCTTGAAATCTGTTAGGCCATTGGCTGAATTTAAAATTCAAAAATTCAGTGTATAACAACTTTAGTATTAACAAGAAACTGAAGAGAATGGTGGTGTTTTTTCACAGAGTCGATTAAAGATAGAAAGATAAGTATACTTTATTACTTTCTTAACAATAATATTAAATTACTTTAATTAGATAAGATTTATGTGATTTTGTTATTTATTTAACTTTATTACCTATTCTTTTCCCTATATTTCAGTTTTACCAAGAAAAGAACTTTTCATAGTTCCGGCTGGTGAATCATCAACAGAATTCAGATTAATCCATGAGAGAAAAAATGAGCTTATCAATTTAGAAGAATCCATGAGAGAAAAATAAGCTTATCAATTTAGAAGAAATCATGGGCCAACTATATTTATTCCCAAAATAAGATTTAATAAAAAAAAGTCTATAGAATTCTATAGTACCCATTCCTACAGAAAACTATTGTGGCCCAATTTCCAAATTACAGAATACTACATTATTCATTCCTATACATAACTGTAGAATACTATAGTATTTTCCTATAGAAATTTTGCCATAAATCTGTAGGAAAAACTATAGAATGTGCGCTACAGAAACTGTAGTATATTTGGGGCCGTTGTTTCCTACAGGCCCCCAAAATTCTCTAGAATACTATAGAATTTTATCCTATAGAACATGGGACACACCCCCAAAAAAACTCTATAGATTTTCTATAGAATTCTACACTGCTATTCTGTAGGACTTTTTGCTAAGGGTAACCCTTGACAGTTCCGTAACACTACTATCTGGTCAAAATTTACCTCACTGCACACAGCATAGCAAGTCTCTAACATCGTAGGCGTGGGAGCTGCTACCCCCCCCCTCCCAAATTCAGTGATCTGTCCATTTTTCGAGCAATGTATTTCCGTTTTTCCGGCACAAACATCAGAGAATGAGAACATATATCATAGAAATATAATTTTAAAATGAAATTGCTAGAAATTTACATTTTGAAAACTATAATAATACTATAAACTAATATAAAACTATAACGTTTGTGGAAAATTTGTTTTAGTTGATGATGATTCATATTAAGGTGAGTGTCAAAGGGTGGTCCAACGGAGTGGGAAGTCGACGGTTCGGCCGGAGATAGTTCAGCTCTGAACGCAGGTCTCATTACACTAGGCCGAGTGTAATGAGACCTACGTTCAGAGCTTAACTAGGCCGGAGAGATAAGTCGAGGGTGAGGGCACACATGTTGCCAGTCGGGGGTGAGGGGTAGGGTAGGGTATGGTGAGACATGCAGTGACCCCTCCCCTTCTGCGTAAAAATGATTTGCCCAGCCGAAAAAAAAAGTTGCCGACCATACCATAGTTCTAGAATACCTACTCAGTGGCTACTGTTGTAATAATAGCAGTCTGGACCTATAAACTTTCTTGGCCTTGTTTGGTACGGTACATGAAATTTACATAAATAAATTTTGAATTAAAAAATAAAACTCTGCATTGTTGATGTCTATTTCGCCACCTTCTTAGCTGCACAAAATATTTAGGCCCCTCCTCTAAATAAAGTGGAAGTAGTCGGCATTTACGGAAAGGGAGGTAACTCTATTGACATAAAATTTTCAAGGCATGTTATGTGAGTCGACCCTAAGTCCAAAACAAATAGTCAGTCGAATAAACCGGTCGATGGCTTATTAAAATTTTGGAATCGTTTGTAATCTGTATAAGTTAAAGAAAAAACGCACTAATTCCAATATCTTTTATCATTGTTTTTGTTTATTTTTTACGTCCCCTCATGTTCAAATTTGATTGTTCAAATTAAAACTTTAAGGTGTTATCTTAGTTATTGCCACCGCGGCTTAATAAAGTCATGCTTGACTTTTTCCCTCATCCCCATATGCCCCCATCTTTTAAGTGCACGCCAATGTGTACACGGGACCTCGGTTTTTCGTCCCATCCGAACGACTAGACATCTGTCCTTGTCCACCTCCAAAAGAATAGAGTCCCTATATATGATATGTTGGGTTAGGGGGGCGATGGGGATGAGGTATTTGACATTATCATGTGGCCTCGTCCAGTCGATAAAATCAGTCAGTTAGTTCAGTCGAATAATCCAGTCGAATAAACCAGTCGAATAATTCAGTCGAAAAGTTCAGTCGAATAAACCAGTCGAATAGTTCAGTCGAATAAACAAGTCGCTCAATATTAAGCAGCGGTGGCAGTGGGCTAAGATGATATGGTAGCAAATCATGCTCTTAGACATAGCTGAAGGAGCCGGGGCATGGGGTAGAGACCGGGGGGCTTCCCAACTAGTTTCAAGAAATGAAAAGAAATGAAATGGGGTTTTAACGTCCTACTGTTCTGCTTGGAACTGGGCTAATGAAGACGGGCATACGCCATACACTGTGCGATGAGGGAAATTTTGCCCGGACAGCGGCACTACGGCCTACTCTTATATCGAATTCCATCTGTCAAAGGGATCTTTTACGACCACGTCAATGTGGACACGGGACCTCGGTTTTTCGTCCCATCCGAACGACTAGACAGCTGTCCTTGTCCGCCTCGAAAAGAATAGAGTCCCTATATATGATATGAACGAAGAAAGGGGATGGGGTGGGGCGGGGGTGGGGGGGATGAGGTATTTGACATTTTCATGTGGCCTCATCCAGTCGATAAAACCAGTCAGTTAGTTCAGTCGAATAATCCAGTCGAATAAACCAGTCGAATAATTCAGTCGAAAAGTTCAGTCGAATAAACCAGTCGAATAGTTCAGTCGAATAATCCAGTCGAATAATTCAGTCGAATAAACAAGTCGCTCAATATTAAGCAGCGGTGGCAGCGGGCTAAGATAATATAGTAGCAAATCATGCTCGTAGCCATAGCTGAAGGAGCCGGGGGCATGGGGTAGGGACCGGGGGGCTTCCCAACTAGTTTCAAGAAATGAAAAGAAATGAAATGGGGTTTTAACGTCCTACTGTTCTGCTTGGAACTGGGCTAATGAAGACGGGCAGACGCCATACACTGTGCGATGAGGGAAATTTTGCCCGGACAGCGGCACTACGGCCTACTCTTATATCGAATTCCATCTGTCAAAGGGATCTTTTACATCCACTCCAATGTATACACGGGACCTCGGTTTTTCGTCCCATCCGAAAGACTAGACAGCTGTCCTTGTCCGCCTCGAAAAGAATAGAGTCCCTATATATGATATAAACGAAGAAAGGGGATGGGGTGGGGCGGGGGTGGGGGGGGATGAGGTATTTGATATTTTCATGTGGCCTCGTCCAGTCGATAAAACCAGTCAGTTAGTTCAGTCGAATAATCCAGTCGAATAAACCAGTCGAAAAGTTCAGTCGAATAAACCAGTCGAATAGTTCAGTCGAATAATTCAGTCGAATAATCCAGTCGAATAATTCAGTCGCTCAATATTAAGCAGCGGTGGCAGCGGGCTAAGATAATATAGTAGCAAATCATGCTCGTAGCCATAGCTGAAGGAGCCGGGGGCATGGGGTAGGGACCGGGGGGCTTCCCAACTAGTTTCAAGAAATGAAAAGAAATGAAATGGGGTTTAACGTCCTTCTGTTCTGCTTGGAACTGGGCTAATGAAGACGGGCAGACGCCATACACTGTGCGATGAGGGAAATTTTGCCCGGACAGCGGCACTACGGCCTACTCTTATATCGAATTCCATCTGTCAAAGGGATCTTTTACGTCCACTCCAATGTAGACACGGGACCTCGGTTTTTCGTCCCATCCGAAAGACAATAGACAGCTGTCCTTGTCCGCCTCGAAAAGAATAGAGTCCCTATATATGATATAAACGAAGAAAGGGGATGGGGTGGGGCGGGGGTGGGGGGGGATGAGGTATTTGACATTTTCATGTGGCCTCGTCCAGTCGATAAAACCAGTCAGTTAGTTCAGTCGAATAATCCAGTCGAATAAACCAGTCGAATAATTCAGTCGAAAAGTTCAGTCGAATAAACCAGTCGAATAGTTCAGTCGAATAATTCAGTCGAATAAACAAGTCGCTCAATATTAAGCAGCGGTGGCAGCGGGCTAAGATAATATAGTAGCAAATCATGCTCGTAGCCATAGCTGAAGGAGCCGGGGGCATGGGGTAGTGACCGGGGGGCTTCCCAACTAGTTTCAAGAAATGAAAAGAAATGAAATGGGGTTTTAACGTCCTACTGTTCTGCTTGGAACTGGGCTAATGAAGACGGGCAGACGCCATACACTGTGCGATGAGGGAAATTTTGCCCGGACAGCGGCACTACGGCCTACTCTTATATCGAATTCCATCTGTCAAAGGGATCTTTTACGTCCACTCCAATGTAGACACGGGACCTCGGTTTTTCGTCTCATCCGAAAGACTAGACAGCTGTCCTTGTCCGCCTCGAAAAGAATAGAGTCACTATATATGATATAAACGAAGAAACGGATGGGGTGGGGCGGGGGTGGGGGGGATGAGGTATTTGACATTTTCATGTGGCCTCGTCCAGTCGATAAAATCAGTCAGTTAGTTCAGTCGAATAATCCAGTCGAATAAACCAGTCGAATAATTCAGTCGAAAAGTTCAGTCGAATAAACCAGTCGAATAGTTCAGTCGAATAATTCAGTCGAATAATCCAGTCGAATAAACAAGTCGCTCAATATTAAGCAGCGGTGGCAGCGGGCTAAGATAATATAGTAGCAAATCATGCTCGTAGCCATAGCTGAAGGAGCTGGGGGCATGGGGTAGGGACCGGGGGGCTTCCCAACTAGTTTCAAGAAATGAAAAGAAATGAAATGGGGTTTAACGTCCTTCTGTTCTGCTTGGAACTGGGCTAATGAAGACGGGCAGACGCCATACACTGTGCGATGAGGGAAATTTTGCCCGGACAGCGGCACTACGGCCTACTCTTATATCGAATTCCATCTGTCAAAGGGATCTTTTACGTCCACTCCAATGTAGACACGGGACCTCGGTTTTTCGTCCCATCCGAAAGACTAGACAGCTGTCCTTGTCCGCCTCGAAAAGAATAGAGTCCCTATATATGATATAAACGAAGAAAGGGGATGGGGTGGGGCGGGGGTGGGGGGGGGGATGAGGTATTTGACATTTTCATGTGGCCTCGTCCAGTCGATAAAACCAGTCAGTTAGTTCAGTCGAATAATCCAGTCGAATAAACCAGTCGAATAATTCAGTCGAAAAGTTCAGTCGAATAAACCAGTCGAATAGTTCAGTCGAATAATTCAGTCGAATAATCCAGTCGAATAATTCAGTCGCTCAATATTAAGCAGCGGTGGCAGCGGGCTAAGATAATATAGTAGCAAATCATGCTCGTAGCCATAGCTGAAGGAGCCGGGGGCATGGGGTAGTGACCGGGGGGCTTCCCAACTAGTTTCAAGAAATGAAAAGAAATGAAATAGGGTTTTAACGTCCTACTGTTCTGCTTGGAACTGGGCTAATGAAGACGGGCAGACGCCATACACTGTGCGATGAGGGAAATTTTGCCCGGACAGCGGCACTACGGCCTACTCTTATATCGAATTCCATCTGTCAAAGGGATCTTTTACGTCCACTCCAATGTAGACACGGGACCTCGGTTTTTCGTCCCATCCGAAAGACTAGACAGCTGTCCTTGTCCGCCTCGAAAAGAATAGAGTCCCTATATATGATATAAACGAAGAAAGGGGGTGGGGTGGGGCGGGGGTGGGGGGGGGGGATGAGGTATTTGACATTTTCATGTGGCCTCGTCCAGTCGATAAAACCAGTCAGTTAGTTCAGTCGAATAATCCAGTCGAATAAACCAGTCGAATAATTCAGTCGAAAAGTTCAGTCGAATAAACCAGTCGAATAGTTCAGTCGAATAATCCAGTCGAATAATTCAGTCGAATAAACAAGTCGCTCAATATTAAGCAGCGGTGGCAGCGGGCTAAGATAATATAGTAGCAAATCATGCTCGTAGCCATAGCTGAAGGAGCCGGGGGCATGGGGTAGGGACCGGGGGGCTTCCCAACTAGTTTCAAGAAATGAAAAGAAATGAAATGGGGTTTAACGTCCTTCTGTTCTGCTTGGAACTGGGCTAATGAAGACGGGCAGACGCCATACACTGTGCGATGAGGGAAATTTTGCCCGGACAGCGGCACTACGGCCTACTCTTATATCGAATTCCATCTGTCAAAGGGATCTTTTACGTCCACTCCAATGTAGACACGGGACCTCGGTTTTTCGTCCCATCCGAAAGACTAGACAGCTGTCCTTGTCCGCCTCGAAAAGAATAGAGTCCCTATATATGATATAAACGAAGAAAGGGGATGGGGTGGGGCGGGGGTGGGGGGGGATGAGGTATTTGACATTTTCATGTGGCCTCGTCCAGTCGATAAAACCAGTCAGTTAGTTCAGTCGAATAATCCAGTCGAATAAACCAGTCGAATAATTCAGTCGAAAAGTTCAGTCGAATAAACCAGTCGAATAGTTCAGTCGAATAATTCAGTCGAATAAACAAGTCGCTCAATATTAAGCAGCGGTGGCAGCGGGCTAAGATAATATAGTAGCAAATCATGCTCGTAGCCATAGCTGAAGGAGCCGGGGGCATGGG